TAGTCTGCACTCCTTTTTCTCTCTCTCTGACTGACTTCACCCTCTGCTCCGTGCTTATGTTGGCTGTGATTAAGAGATGAAGCCCTCCTCGTCCGCCCGCCCAGCGTCGCCGGTGGTGGCAGGCCCTTAGGAATGTGTGTGACTGTGTGTGTGCTCCGTCGTGTCTGACTCTTTCCAGCCGCGTGGACTGCATGTAGCCCAGCAGGCTCCTCCGTCCATGGAATTTTCACGGCGAGAACACTGGACTGGGTTGCCATTTCCTCCTCCAGGGGATCTTCCCCACCCAGGGCTCGAACCTGTGTCTCTGGCGTCTCCTACGTTGGCAGGAGGGACGCCCAGGAGTGTGTGTACATAACGGTTAAGTGTGCAGAGGGTGAAGTGGGCCATTTTAGTCCTTGCACGTGTCCGGTGCGAGGCACATTCTCATCTCTGTGCAGCCCTCCCCGCTGACCAGCTCCAGGCGTCTGTTCTTCCTGAGCCGGACTCTGCCCCATTAAACTGTCGCTCCGTTCCCTTCTCCCTGCCGCCCCGGCAACCCCCGTTCCTTGTTCTGTGTGCACGAGTTTGACTGTTTAGGGGCCTCATCTAGTGAGCACCGAAGAATTGATGCTTCTGAACTGTGATGTTGGAGGAGACTCTTGAGAGTCCATTGGACTGCAAGGAGATCCAACCAATACATCCTAAAGGAAATCAGTCCTGGAAGGACTGATGCTGAAGCTGAAGCTCCTCTCTGGCCACCTGATGCGAAGAGCCGACTCTGAAAAGACCCTGATGCGGGGAGGGATTGGGGGCAGGAGGAGAAGGGGATGGTTGGATGGCATCACGGCCCCAGTGGACGTGAGTTCGAGCAGACTCTGGGAGATGCTGAAGGACGGGAGCCTGGCGTGCTGCAGTCCAGTCCGTTGTTCAGCCGCTCCGTCGTGTCCGACTCTGCGACCCCGTGGACTGCAGCCATGAAACGAGAAGACGCTGCATTTCACGGGGTCGCAGAGTCGGACACGACGGAGCGGCTGAACAACGGCAACACACGGTGCGACCGGAGGCTCGACCTGCCTTTCTGGGACCGGCCGGGGTCACGCAGCCAGGTCGCTGCCGGCGTTGGAGCGTCCTTCCTTTCTCAGGCCGAGCGGCATTCCGCTTGGAATCCTCATCCCTCAGCGGGCAGGCGCGGGCTGCTGTGAATGTGGGCGTGCAGATACCTGGGCGTGACCCTCCTTTGGATCCCTTTCAGTCCATACCGGAAGTGGGGTTGCTGGATTCTGCAGGCGTTCTGTGTTTGATGTTTCGAAGGACTTTTTTTTAAACACCAGTGTTGCCCTTACGGTGTGAGAAGCGGATGGGACCTTGGCGCCCCCACCCCCAGCCTTAGTCCTCCGCCTTTTTCGTGGGGTGGGGAGGGAGACTGCCTTCTCTCCAGGCGTCAGAGAACGGCCTTTAGGTGCGGGAGAGCTGGGCTGACTTGCCTGCAGAGGAGGTTTCAGGTTTCACCGTGGGAAGGGTCAGCCCGAGCTGAGACTCAGCCCCACCCCTCCCTCCCCCTCCTCCCGCCCCTCCTCCCCTCCCCGCTGTGAGCCGTTCAGCCGGGCCTCCTTCTCTCCTGCCTGGTGGTTCAGTGGTAGAGAATCCGCCTGTCAGTGCAGGAGACGCCGGTTCATTCGGTTCGATCCCTGGGTCGGAAAGATCCCCCTGGAAGAGCGAATGACAACCCACTGCAGTTATTCTTGCCTGGAAACCCCATGAACAGAGGAGCCTGGTGGGCTACAGTCCATGGGATCGCAGGAGTCAGACACAACTTAGCAACTCAACAACAACAACATCTCCCGGAGACTCTAGAAGCCTTGGGATCCCAGGCCCAGCAGGTCCACGCACACTGCTTTCCTGGGTTTGGCTTCAGCTTTGGGTCGAGCTTTGTAGGCAGTGCCCAGTCCTGCCCGAGGTGGCCACGCCTGGAGAGGCTTCCCCCGGGTGTCGCTGGCAGAGGGGTGGAGAGCACGCCCTGCCCCTCGCTCTGCCCTGGTCCTGGGCAGACAGTGGCCTTTCTCATCCCGAATAACGTGCCTTACGCTCAAGACAGGGACGTCGGGTGTGAAAGCCGTGGAGCGAGAGGAAGGCGGGTCCCCGCGTGTTGGTTGGAAATGGGGCGGGGCGGGGGGGGGTCCTCCCGTGACACATTTGCATCGCAGCAGCCTGGAAGGGGGGAGGGGGAGGGGGCGGTCATCCAAATGAGGGGTGTCAAGTCCAGATGAGCGGGGCGGCAGACTGAGCCGTTGGGTGAGAACATGAGGGGTGGCCGGCCAGCCAGGACCGAGGCTTAACGGCACTGGTTCCTTTAACCGATGTCCATTTGGGGAGATGTGTGCAGAGTGGGGAGACGGCTGGGTTTTTAGCTTCCAGGGCACCACCTTGTGACCGCTGGCGTCTGGCTACGGACCTGGCCCCTCGGACTGGCCTGGCCGGGCGAAGCTTCCACAGCAGCACCGACAGCCAGCCCCGCTTGACACGGGCCAGCGGCCCCTCACTGAGGAGTTGAGTTTACGGCGGGGTTTAGCCCGGATGCTGTTGTGGAACCAGCACGTGAGGGAGTCACACGTGTGAACACTTGCAGTTCTGGGGGTGAGCCCTGGGGCCCCAAGCCTGACGCTGGAACCCTGAGGTTCTCACTGGGACGCGGTGTTGACCTGACCTGGGACGGGAGCTCAGCGCGCTCGGGGGCCTGGAAATCAGGTGACGCGCTGAGGTCATGTCCTTCCAGGAAAGGAAGAGTGTGTCGACTTCTTACAACACGGTTATTTAAAAAAAAAAAAACAACAGCTGAACGTTTCTTGGGACATGTGGATGCTGGCCATTCTACACTAATGGGAAGCTGGGGGCAGAGGGTAGACCTGTCGTAGGCAGTGGGGAGGGCTGGGCGACCGTGACATCTTAGCGCCGGGTGGGCTCTGTCCATGGTCTAGTCCACGGGCCCAGTTTCAAGTCAGCGAACCTGAAACGCGGACGCCTTGCGTGATCGGCAAGGTCTCAGGTGTGTTGCCGCCTGGGTGGAACCCGAGCCTCTCGAGTCTGCAACCTTCCTCCCCGCCCCCTCCCTGAGGACAGGTCCTTATTTTATTAAAAAAAAAAAAATGTGTCTCCAGAAAGAAGAGCAACCCAGGATCAGACTTGTTTGGGGGGCGGGGTGTGGACCTAGGGCTCTGTGACACCCGCCCTCATGCCCTCAGGAATGCTGAGAGCAGGTTGAGCCTTTGCGTCTTCTCAGGAGGAGGCAGCGTTTGGCTGAGGCCTTGGGCTGCCCCGTCTGGACGCTACAGAACCCACAGTCCAGGGGCTTCCCTGGCGGCCCCGTGGTTAAGACTCCCATCTCCCAGTGCAGGAGGCGTGCGTTCCATCCCTGGTCAGTGAACTAAGATCTCAGATGCTGTGATGTGCAGCCAAAAAAAAAACCAAAAAATAGAATTGAGACCGGAAGTCCAGGGGCCCAGGGGTGGCACCCAGCGCAGTGCTCTTGGCCCCTGAAGCCCCGCAGATGGGTTAAGAGGAACCAGGGTGCCTCCGTGCAGCCCTCAGCGTCCTCTGTGCTCTCACCCCAGAAGCAGCCCCTGAGGGCTGGGAGCCTCCCCTGGACGCCCAGGCAGAGCCCAGCCTGGCCTTGGTGACCGGCCCCCGAGTGCAGACCCCAGGGCCCCGGGCACAGTGGCATGGCCAGCCCGCAGAGTGCCGGGCCGGCGGGCAGCGGGGGAGGCTCTCTGCCCTGGCTGGAGCCCCCCGGGGGTCCTTCGCGGCCACCGGGGCCCAGGCCGCCCCCTGACTCGGTCAGTACGTGCGGGGCCCGCCTGGGTTACACTTTCAGAGCCCCGGGATGGCGCTGGCGGGTAGCTAGGGCTGAGGGCCCCTGTTGGAGGACGGTGACCTTCCGGGAGCAGAGCTGGAGGGGTGGGGTGAGGCGGGGGTGTGGCAGGGAGCGGGGACTTCGGCCCGAAGCTCGGTGGCCTGTCTAGGCCCACAGCTTGTGCCCGTGGCGCCCGTGGAAGCCAGTGAGGCCCGTCCTCCATTCTACTAGGCTCCGGAAAGCCCCTGCTGGGTCCACCTGGCCGGGGCAGTCTGGGTGCCGCCAACACAGGGAGCGTTTGGTGCCGGAAGTTGTTGCCAACCAGGGCCTGGGTGCCCCGGAGGCCTCCTGTGCCGGCGCCTCGGGCTGCCGGTGGGTGCGTCACGGTGACGTGACTGAGCCCTTTCGGGATGACCTCTTGGAAGGCCCGGGCGCCCTTGGGCAGGAGGAGTGGACGGGCAGCCGTGACCTGAGGCTGGGGACGGGCCGGGCCCTCGTGGGCTGATGGCCCAATCAGGGAATCCACTCGGTAAGAATGGCTCTGGGAAGCGGGCTCGGGAGTCCATGTGGCCTGTGATCCGTGGGGGTGGGGGTGGGGGTGAAGGAAGAGGGTGTCGGCTCTGTGGCCAGGTACCCTCCCCCCCAAAATCAGGGAGAGCTTGGTGTAGGATAAGCCACCCTCTGCGCTCGCGGGGACTCTCAGTGGGGGGCCGGGGGGGAGCCACAGCCTGTTTCCTGGCTGTGCACCCGGGTCGGTGGGGTCAGGTTGGATCCCCCCAGATGGGGCTTAAGAACGTCCCTGGACAGCAGGACTCTAGCCTTTGGGGTCCACCCTTCAGGCCCCACTACCCTGACCTGCGGGGATCGAAGGTCCAGCCTCGCATTGTCTGGGGAGGGGGCCCCCCCCGCCCACCTGGAGAGTCAGTTGTGAAGGTGAGGTCAGGCTATGCAAGGCCTCTGTTCCAGGCCCGCAGGGGACAGGCGGGGTGCCCCCCCAAGGCTGACGGCCCCCAGCCCCTCGCCCCCGTTCCAGGCCCGCAGGGCACAGGTGGGGTGCCCCCCCAAGGCTGACGGCCCCCAGCCCCTCGCCCCCGTTCCAGGCCCGCAGGGCACAGGCGGGGTGCCCGCCAGCCCCTCCCCGCCTCTGACGCCACCTGCCTCTCCGCACTCGCAGATGCGTTGTTCGGGACGCCGCCAGGGCCCGGCTGTGCTGTGGACCGGGCGGAGGAGCCGCGCCGGCCCCAGGACGGGCTGCCCTACAATGATGACTCGCCCGCCTCCTCGCCTCACCTCGGCAGCAAGGCCCGGGGCGGCCGGGACGCGGCAGAGCCCAGCAGAGCGGTGAGTCGGGGTGGGAGGGCGGGAGGGGGTGCTGCCGCGGGTCCAGTCTCCCTGAGGCCCTTGTCCCGGATCTGGGTGCATGGGGGCAGGCGCGGAGGGCGGGCGCGGGGGTCCCAGGTGGTGGAGGGCAGGTGCGGGGGTCCCGGGTGGTGGAGGGTGGGCGCGGGGGTCCCAGGTGGTGGAGGGCAGGTGCGGGGGTCCCGGGTGGTGGAGGGTGGGCGCGGGGATTCCAGGGGGCGCAGAGGACGGATGCGGGGGTCCCGGGTGGCGGAGGGCGGGCGCAGGGGTCCCGGGTGGTGGAGGGCGGGTGCGGGGGTCCCGGGTGGTGAAGGGTGGGCGCGGGGGTCCCAGGTGGTGGAGGGCAGGTGCGGGGGTCCCGGGTGGTGGAGGGTGGGCGCGGGGATTCCAGGGGGCGCAGAGGACGGATGCGGGGGTCCCGGGTGGCGGAGGGCGGGCGCAGGGGTCCCGGGTGGTGGAGGGTGGGTGCGGGGGTCCCGGGTGGTGGAGGGTGGGCGCGGGGGTCCCGGGGGGTGCAGAGGGCAGGTGCGGGGGTCCCGGGTGGTGGAGGGTGGGCGTGGGGATCCCGGGGGGCGGGGGGCAGTGCAGTGTCCCCGGGGCTCTGTCTCGGCCAGCAGGGCGCACAGCGGGTCGGGGTCCAGGCCCCCCCAGTGCACTGGCCCCCTCTTTGCCCAAGGAGCTGCTGAGATGGCTCACCTGCTCCCCGGGGTCTTCCTCCGGGGGCCTCCCCGTTGTTAGTGACCCTCCCACCATCACTTCCGCTCTGTGGCAGAGCTGAGGCCCCGAGGTCCGTAGCGAGCGAAAGCTGGCACAGCCCCCAGGTGTCCTCCCTTGCGGCGGCAGCCGTGGAGGCGCACGGAGCAGGCATGCCAGCCGGGCTGGGCCTGGCTCCCAGTCCTCGTGGCCCCGCACCTCAGGCCAGCGCCCCCGAGGGGCATCAGGGCCCGGCCAGGCGCCCCCTTGACCTCCCGGGCCCACCCTGCTGGGCTGAGGGTGTGTGCTGTCCCTGGGGGTGGGTCGCACCCTCTGTCTTTCTGGTCCCGTTGCCCCCGATGACAGACACCTGCCTCCTCCCGCTCAGCTTGTTTCTGGGGTGTCTCCACCCTGGCTTTAGCGATGAGAGCGAGGGCTCCACTTTCCCCCGTGGCTGAAAGTGCATCTCCTCACCGCGGGGCCTCCCCGCAGGGCCGGCGCCTTCGCTCAGGACTGCCGTTTTCCTTTGGCTTCTGTGATTTCTGGCTTTCCTGCCGGCCCAGGCAGTAAAAACATCTGTCTGCGGTGCAGGAGACCCGGGCTCAGTCCCTGGGTCGGGAAGGTTCCCCTGGAGAAGGGAAATGGCAACCCGCTCCAGGATTCTTGCCTGGAGAACCGCACGGACGGAGGAGTCTGGCGGACTGCAGTCCGTGGGGTCTAGAAAAGAGTCCGGACGTGATTGAGCCACTGACATTGGGCTTTCACCACTGCCGGGCAGGCCTCTCCCCCTGAGACGGGGCGGTGGGTGGGCGCCCGTGTGTAACGCGTGCCTGCCTGCTGTGGCTCCTTGCCCACATGGCCAGCCCCAGCGTTCCATAGACAGCGAGACCGAGGTTCAGAGAGGTAGAGTGACTTGCTCGAGGCCTCACCATGACGGCTCTGAAGGCCTCCCAGCCCCTCAGCTGCGCCTTCCTGCCCCTGCCCTGCCCTGCCCTTCCTGAGGTCTCCTGTCTCACGCTGTATTGCGGTGTGACTTGGGACAGACGAGCGTCTTACTGGCCGATCCCTGGACTCTGGATGGCCCTCCCTGTCTGTGGTGCCTGAGGGCTGTCTTCCCCTGGCACGAGCTCCCACCCCCTCAGGAGGAAGCTCCGCGGCCGCCCTGGGCCCCTGCCCTCAGGCCCCCAGCACACTGGCTTGGGGTTCTGCCCCCCACCTTTTACCCCCAGTTGGGGGCCCACCTGCTGGGAAGCCTGTCCAGACCCAGGAGCCCTCAGACTCTTCTCATCTTACACACACAGCGAGAAGGCCGCACCTGCTTCTTGGGCCTCGGGGCTCCAGCCCTGAGCGGGCACCTGGCCCGGGGGCTTCAGGAGGCACCTGGGGAGCCAGGGCAGGACTGGATGAGGCATGCGTGGCTTTGTTCTGGAAGCCCCATGGTCCAGGGCTCAGCGCACCGGAGACCAGCAGAGAGCCCCAGCTGCCTGGTGCCCTGTCAGCCACGCAGGGACACTTCCCTCTTTGGTCTCTGACTGTGGGTCTGGGGATGATGCAGCTGTGGCTTCCTGGCGCCCACAGGAAGTGCTGTGGTCTTGCGGTCACGGCCGCCCAATCCCCCATCCGCCAGGGCTGGGGTGCTTGCCCGTTCGCCTCGGTCCCGCCCCTCCAGGGTGGGGCTCGGCCTCCGCCGCCGAGCCTGGGCCCTTTTGGGGTGGGAGGGTAGGGGGCCGTCAGGAGGACCTTCCTGGGGACCCCATGGCGATGCGGGGGTTCGGAGGCCTTCTGGAGGTGCAGGTCAGCTCCAGGAACGCACGCCCCCGGGGTGAGTAGGGGTCCGCGGGGCCAGGCTCCCCGTGTCGCCGGGGCCACTGTGGGAGGGGCCAGGTGGGCAATAGGGTGGGTCCTGCTACCCTAGGAGGCTGTCCCGGCGCGGAGCACCAGTGAGAGCCTCGCTCCTGGGAACCCTCAGAGACGCCACTGGCGTGTCTGCGTTTCCCCAGGACGATGGCTGTTCAGTGCCAGCTGGGGACCCGAGTCCTGGGCGAGGGCCAGCGGACACATGTCCCTTGTCTCTGTGAGGGACAGTGAGGTTACACATTCATCAGCCCCTTGTAGACGTTGCAGAGAGGAGTGGGCTCCTGGGGGCCTGGACGGGGGCTGCTGGCCAGCGTGTGTCAGGGGCGCGGACGTGTGTCCAGGTGTCACCCCAGCTGCCGTCTGGGGGTTCGTAGCCTTTGTTCTGCAGCCGCGCTGGCTGGCAGGCCCCGAGCGCCCCGGGGTGGGGGTGGGCGTGGGGGCGGGGGCCCCTGCAGCTCCGGGCCCGGTGGCTGGCCGGCGGGCGGCCGCTCTGTTCCCCCCCCCCCCCCCGTTCCCTGATCTTGTTGTCACCCTGGGTTTTTTTTGCTCTTTCAGCCCCAGGGCTTGTGTTGTCTTCCCCTCCCGCTTCCGGGCAGTGGAGGCCTCTTGCCTTTTCCTCCGGCTTCCTCCCGCCCTCCCCACGTCCCAGGTGCCTGCACACACCCCAGAGCTGGCGCGTGCGCAGGGCAGGTGTCAACACCGCGGGCCCGCCCTGCCCTCTGCCCCCTCCCCCTGTCCCCTCCGCCCTCTCGCCTCCGGGTGGGGTGGCCGGCGCCCAGGCCGCTGTCCGCTGCCCCCAGCCCCTCTGAGGCTCAGGAGAAGGTTCCAGGGTAGCCAGGGTCACCGCCCAGACGGCCCTTTACCCAGCCAGGCCCTCGGGAGCAGAGAGCTGGACGGGGCGCCGCCCTCTTCTGCCCGGCTCTCCAGGCCGCAGGGCTCGGGAGCAGCTCTCCCCCTGGGCACGCGAGCCTTCACCCCAGACACGGTGGGAGGCATGGGCAGGACCCCCTGGCTTCCCCGGGGCGCCTCCATTCGAGACGTGGCCTGAGGGGACAGTGGGTCCTGAGAGGGCAGGGCCCCCCCAGCCTGCACATCTGTGCTGATGGTGCTGGGGGGCCCCGAGCCGGCTGCCCGGACGGTCCTGGACCCTGGGACCCGCTCGTCTCACGGACGAGGGTTCCCTGGAGGGGCCCGTGGACCCTCGTGACGGTGTGGCCATGCCAGAGCTCAGCCAGAGGTTCTGGGTCCTCTCGCTGGGTGGTTTACTCTGTAGATCTTGGTGGAGAACCTGGGGTTCTGGGTGCCGTGCCCCAGAGGCTCCCGCTTCCCAGCACGGCCTGGACGGGGCTGTGGTGTGGGACGTGGGTGTCCTTTCCCTGGAGTCGCTGAAAGCCAGGAATCTGATGACTACCCCCATACGTGTACACAGACACACACAGGAACACACATGAGCGCACACATACGTGTACACACATGAGCACACACATGCACGAGCATGAGTGCGGACGTGTGTGTGCACACAAGCGTGTGCAAGGAGTACACATGTGTGCATATACACAGGAGCACATGTATGCATACACACAAGCACACAAATACGTGAAGACATGTGCCCACACAGGCACACATACGTGTACACACATGAGCACACACATGCGTGAGCTGAGTGCAGACATGTGTGCGTGCACACGAGCATGTGCAAGGAGTACACATGTGTGCATATATACAGGAGCACACGTATACATACACACAAGCACACAAATACGTGAACACATGTGCCCACACAGGCACACATACGTGTACACACGAGCACACACATGCGTGAGCTGAGCGCAGACATGTGTGCGTGCACACGAGCGTGTGCAAGGAGTACACGTGTGTGCGTATACACAGGAGCACACGTATACATACACGCAAGCACACAAATACGTGAACACGTGCCCACACAGGCACACATGCGTGTACACACGAGCACACACATGCGTGAGCTGAGCGCAGACATGTGTGTGTGCACACGAGCGTGTGCAAGGAGTACACGTGTGTGCGTATACACAGGAGCACACGTATACATACACACAAGCATACAAATACGTGAACACGTGTGCCCACACAGGCACACATACATGTACACATATGCACGAGCACACACACGTGTACACATGAGACAAACACACATGTGCACCTGGCTTATGCACACACCGCAATTCCCAGAGCAGAGTGCTGGTCCAGGCAGCCTTTCTGGGTTGTCCCAGCGGGCAGCCAGGATGTGCTATGAGTCTCAGGGATGCAGAAAGCAGACGCGGGGGGAAGTGGGAACTGGGCCCCGTTTCTCCAGTTCGCATCTGGTCAGCGGGGCTCAGGGCAGGAAGGCAGGGGCCCAAGACAGTGGGGCTCGCAGGGCGGGTCTGACTAATGGCCGCACCCCCACCCCTTGACTCAGCCCCAGGTGAGTCCTGTCAGATCTGCCGTTTCTCTACCACCAAGTACCTCCCTCCCTCCAGGCCAGGCAGGTGGGAAGGGCCAGTCGGCTTGGGGGCACAGAGGGGCTACCCTGGGAGGTCCAATTCCAGATATTATGGAAACCCACAGTGGCACTCATTTCACATGCTAGCAAGATGATGCTCAAAATCCTTCAAGCTTCAACAGTAGGTGAACCAAGAAATCCCAGATGTACAAACTGGATTTAGAAAAGGCAGAGGAACCAGAGATCAAATTGTCAGCATCCGCTGGATCATAGAGAAAACAAGAGAATTCCAGAAAAACATCTACTTCTACTTTATGGACTATGCTAAAGCCTTTGACTGTGTGGATCACAACAAACTGGAAAATTCATAAAGAGATGGGAATACCAGACCACCTGACCTGCCTCCTGAGAAATCTGTATGCAGGTCAGGAAGCAGCAGTTAGAACTGGACATGGAACAACAGACTGGTTCTAAATAGAAAAAGGAGTACCTCAAGACTATGTTGTCACCCTGCTGATGTAACTTATATGCAGAGTATATCATGAGAAACACTGGGCTGGATAAAGCACAAGCTGGAATCAAGACTATTGGGAAAAATATCAATAACCTCAGAGACGTAGATGACACCACCTCTGGCAGAAAGTGAAGAGGAACTAGAGAGCCTCTTTCTGAAGGTGAAAGAGGAGAGTGAAAAAGCTGGTTTAAAACTCATCATTCAAAAAACTAAGATCATGGCATCTGGTCCCATCACTTCATGGCAAATAGATGAGGAACAAAATGAAAACGGTGACAGACTTTTGTTTTCTTGGGTTCCAAAATCACTGCAGATGGTGACCGCAGCCATGAAACTAGAAGTACCTTGCTCCTTGGAAGAAAAGCTGTGACCAACCTAGACAGCATATTAAAAAGCAGAGACGTTACTTTGCCAACAAAGGTCCATATAGTCCAAGCTATGGTTTTTCCAGTAGTCATGTACGGATATGAGAGTTGGACCCTAAAGACAGCTGAACATTGAAAAATTGATGCTTTCAAATTGTGGTGCTGGAGAAGACTCTTGAGAGTCCCTTGGACCGCAAGAAGATCAAACCAGGCTTGCCTGGTGCTTCAGTGATGAAGAATCTGTGTGCCAATGCTGGAGACGCGGGTTCAGTCCCTGATCCGGGAAGATCGCTCATGCCTCAAAGCACCTAAGTCCTTGCACCCCAAGTGTGGAGCATGTGCTCTGGAGCCCCAGAGCCAGAACTGCTGAGCTCACAGGCTGCGGCTCCTGAAGCCTGTGCTCAGCAGCAAGAAGCCACCGCCGTGAGGTCAAACAATCAAACAGTCCTAAAGGAAGTCAACCCTGACTGTTCATTGGAGGGACTGATGCTGCAGCTGAAGCTCCCAATACTTTGGCCACCTGATGGGAAGAGCCAACTCATTGAAAAAGACCCTGATGCTGGGAGGGATTGGGGGCAGGGGGAGACGGGGACGACAGGATGAGATGGCGGGATGGCATCACTGACTCGATAGACATGAGTTTGAGTAAACTCCGGGAGATGGTGATGGACAGGGAGGCCTGGCATGCTGCAGTCCATGGGGTCGCAGAGAGTTGGACATGACTGAGCGACTGAACAATGACGAGAGTGCCAGGAGGCATGCGCTGGCGTGGGAAGGTGGGTGACGACACCCACAGACGTTTGCCCCTGTCCTCACCGGGGGCAGGGGTCTTGCTGCTGGTGCAGTGAATGGAGGCCAGAAGTGCCGCTTGACACCCAGTGCGGCACAGAGTGGCCCCCCCGGCACCCAGCAGAGAACCCTGCAGCCCCAGATGTCTGGTGCCAAGGCCGGGACCTGCCCCATCCGTCACGTCCTCCCGAGTGACCGACGGCCAGTGCTCCGGGTCTGCACCCAAGGGCAGGGCTGTCTCCGCTCACCTGCAGGCTGGGGAGCCAGTGGTGGAAAGGGCAGGGCGTGTCCTCTTCTCTGGACATGGACCCAGGGCTCCGGCCACCTGGCGCCGCCCTCGGGCCGCAGTGGGGCTGGCCAGCACAGGCTGAGCATAGGCCGTGGGCACAGCCCCTCCGACCCCAGGCTGCCTCATTGCCGGTCAGGGAGCAGGTAGAGGGCCTCAGCCCGGAAGTTGATGAAAAAGCAGTTTTGTTGCCTTTGGAATCATCCTCTGTGTCAGTTTCCTGGGTATCTGTAATAAAACACCACAGACCACGTGGCTTAAACAAGAGAGATTGATTTCTGCCAGTTCTGGAGGCAGGACGTCCGAGATGAAGGTGTCAGGAGGGCTGGTTTCTCCCGGGACCTCTCTCCTTGGCTCAGAGATGCCCATCTTCTCCCTGTCTTTCCGGCCGGGTGCGTCTGTGTCCTGATCTCCTCCTTGTCTTCTTGAGACATCAGTTTATAACTCGGTGTTTATTGTAGGTATATAAGACAGTGGTTGGATATATGTATTGTAAAACGATTGCTGGCCATCACTCAACATCCATCACCACAACTGGTTATACATTTTTTTATGCTAAGAACTCTTAAGATCTATTCTTTCAGCAATTTTCACTTATACAATATGGCACTGACTGTGGCAACCCACTCCAGAGGGAGAATTCCATGGACAGGAGCCTGGTGGGCTACAGCCCCTGGGGTTGCAAAGAGTCGGCCACAACTGAGCGGCTAACACACAGTTACGTGCTGTTCCATACATTCCCTGGACTTGCTTCTCTTGTTCCTGGAAATTTATGCCTTTTGATCACCTGATCTCTTCTTAGAAGGGTGTATCAGCCATTTAGGACTAGGACCCAGCCCACCGACCTCATGTTAACTTGATTACGTCTCTGAACACCCTTATCTCCGAGGACAGTCTCATTCTGGGGCGCCGGGGACACACCCCCGCCATGACACCATCACACCCAGTGCTGCGGTGTAGTCTTGCAGCCTCCAGGACCTTACCCGCCTCCCCCCGCCCGCATCCGGGGGCCTGCCAGCTCTGTGTTCGAGGGAAAGACCACAGAGTGGGGAGGAGGGGGTCCTTGCTATAGCCCACAGGTGTGTGGGTCCCAGCGTCTAGAAAACAGGCTCAGAAGAGCAGGTTTAAGGGACAAAGGCCCTGGACCCAGGAAACGGGGTTTCCCTGGGACAGGTGGCGTCAGCGCCAGCCTCGCCCCTGTGACTGGGAAGGGGGCGGGGCCGCCCAGCCCTGGCTGGTCCAAAGGTCCGGTGGCAACAGCGCTGAGGCTGCTGGGCAGGTGCCAGGCGGGGGTGGGGGGTAGCAGAGAAGCCACAGTGGCCGTGCGCTGGGCCCGACGCCCGCCCCCCATCCGGGCTCAATTCCTCCGGGACGGCCGCTCCTCGGTCACGAGCTCAAGGTGTGAAGAAGGGCTTTGCCCGCTGCCCCGCCCAGCTCCCCACTGCGCAATCCCTGGCGTCAAGGCCAAGGATGGCCCCCGGCTTTGCTGGATGACCGGCCAGACGTGGTGGGGACCAGAAGTTGGGCGCTGACCTGCTGGGGCACCCCCAGGCCTCCCAAGTGTCACCCCACCTGGAACCTTCTCGGGAAGCTGGTCGTCAGGGTCACGATCCAGCTTCCTCCATCTCGAGGACTCTTCCCGCCTTGCTGCCCCCCCGCCCCCCGGGCCTGACGTTTGTCCTTCTGTCCTGCAGAGCGAGCTGGACTTGGAAAAGGGCTCAGAGATGAGAAAGTGGGTCCTGTCTGGCATCCTGGCTAGCGAGGAGACTTACCTGAGCCACCTAGAGGCACTGCTGCTGGTGAGGGGCATGCGGGGGCCGGGAGGGCGGGGCAGGCCTGGGCAGCGCTGCCATGGGGGCCGGGGAGCAGCCCCCGCCTCACCCGCAGGAGGGCGGGACACGGCCTGGCTGCGGAGGTCGGCCCTCCCCGGGGGGCATGGGGGGGAGCCGGGCGGGCGGGGGGGGCCTGGGCAGCGCTGCCATGGGGGCCGGGGAGCAGCCCCCGCCTCACCCGCAGGAGGGCGGGACACGGCCTGGCCACGGAGGTCGGCCCTCCCCGGGGGGCATGGGGGGGAGCCGGGCGGGCGGGGGGGGCCTGGGCAGCGCTGCCATGGGGGCCGGGGAGCAGCCCCCGCCTCACCCGCAGGAGGGTGGGACATGGCCTGGCCACGGAGGTCAGCCCCCCCCGGGGGGTGGTGGGTGCACTCGTGAGACGCAGTGCCAAGCTGAGCCGGCTTCACGTTTTTGTGGCTCCTGAAATTTAAAAACAGAAGCGTGTGTGCGTTCACGTGACCGCCGCTCGCCTGGCACGTGGTGAGCCCGGCCCCTGACACCTCCGCGCCCTCTTCCAGCCCATGAAGCCTTTGAAGGCGGCCGCCACCACCTCCCAGCCGGTGCTGACGAGCCAGCAGATCGAGACCATCTTCTTCAAGGTGCCTGAGCTCTACGAGATCCACAGGGACTTCTACGACGGGCTCCTGCCCCGCGTGCAGCAGTGGGGCCATCAGCAGCGCGTGGGCGACCTCTTCCAGAAGCTGGTGAGGGGCGCGGGGGCCTCGCGGGCGTGACGGGGTGGCTGCTCCCTGAGCCTGACACCCACCCCCTGCCAGGGAGGCGGTGGGGAGGGGGAGTCCAGGCGCTTCTTGCCGCCCCAGATGCCCAGGGCGGGCCGCGGGGAGGGGGCTCTGTGCAGCACCCGTGCTGGACCCCCACGCGAGGACGCCAAGCCAGGCTTTCTCCCCACGGCCCAGCCGCGCGGACATCGCTGGTGCTTTCCGGCTCCGCCCGAGCTCTGCTCAGGGTTCCCAGGTTCCAGACGGGGCCCTCTTTGGACCACAGAGAAGCTGCTGCCCGGGCAGCAGGACTGAGGTTCCAGGCGCGGGGACCGGGGCAGGGGAGCTGGGAGCGGCCCCTGCAGGTGGGAACAGAGGGGCTCGTCCTGCTTGGTTCCCTGTTTGCAGTCCTCTTGAGTTAAAGGCTCTTGGAGTAGTCACGGATTTCTTAAAGAACGAGAGAAAGGGCGTTTGGGGAGGGAAGGTTGGTCATGGGAAAGGAGCCCTCGGGTCCTTGGTGGCGGGGGGGGGGTCCCTAACCGAGGACGTGGTGAGGACAGACCTCCCGTGTGACCCCCGCTCCCTTGGCAGCCGTTTTAGGACCTGGAGCCAAATTGATCGCTAGCAACGGGGATCGTGGTGCCCTGGAGACCCGGCGCATAACGTGGCCGGGGGTGGAGGAGGCAGGAGGGCTGGTTTGTGTGTGGCCGGCCCAGCAGAGAGGCGGCCTCCCAGCGCTGCGAATCCTCGCCCTGGGACTCCTCGAAGGCAGGTGCCGGGCTGGCCCGTGTGACCGGGGCTCCCCCTCCGGGACCTGAAATCCAGCTCCCGGGTTGCCCCGGCCCCATGTGCGTGCTCCTTCCCTGAGAGGGAACCTGGCCTTCCGGGCCGGGGCGGCCGAGGTTGCCGGGCCCCCTCTAAGTGGCCGGAGTGCAGGGACACTGAGCCCTAGCCCCCAGCCCTCCTAGGCCTCCCGGACGCCCAGCTGGCTGGCCTCGGTTCATGCTGGACCCTGGCGTTCCGCTCGGGCGTGGCTTTCCTCTGGGCCGTTCCCTCCGTCCACTGCCCCGGGCTGCAGGAAGGGGAGGAACATCTCTTTGGTTCAGATTCTCCCGCCAGGGACCCCTTTCCCAGAGCCAGAGAGCCAGGAGACCAGTACTCCCCATCCTCAAAGCCCCCATCTTTGAAGACCCGTGTTGTGGGCAGCAACCATGCTCTTTCCTAAATAACACTCAAGTCACCCAGAAACTTAAAAAAAAATATTTAGTAGTCTGACAGACACCTCAATTTGCAGCATTTGCTCTGGTCTCCCTGGTGACCTGGAGCTGCCTTCGTGTGTGAGATGCTACATGGGGGAGGCGCAGCCCCACGGGAAGAGGAGCCGCCGTGGGAGGTGGTTGCTGGGGAGCTCCGTGCCGTGTGTTCACCTGTGTGCCCCTGGGGCCGGGCGCTGGGCATCCCCACGGACAGGTGGATGGGTCCCTGTCCCCACCCTTTCAGATTAGCACAGTGGGGTCGGGCTGCCCAGCTGGGAGAGTCTCGGGACGCCCCCAGGAGCCCCGATGGCCCAGCCTTGGTACCATCGCTTCCCAGGAACTCACAAGCCACACCTCGTCGCTGGGAAGCCCCTCCTGCGGCTGCCTTGACTCCCTTCCTGTGGGTTAATCACTACCCAACCGGGGCTTTGTTTCTGGCAGAATTTTTATTAGCTCAGTTATTTTGGTTACTAATCATTTCAGACTAACTGAATTGTTCCAAGAATCGCACAAAGAAGTCTGTGTGCTGGCTGCACCACTTGTAACATTTTGCTTCATTTTTTTCTTTGCTTCTCTCCTTTGTACACACACACACGCACACACGATAGAGAGTAAAGTGCTGATCCTGCCCCTTATCTCTAAGTGCGTCATCATGTACTTGCTGAGGACATGCTCCTCCACAGCCCACAGGACAGCCCTCCATCGGGGACTGTTCATGTTCATGTGATACTGCTAAGAGATCCTTCTACGGATGTCTTCCAGGTTCGGTGTCCTGTTCTTTGTAGCCGTTTTCCTTCTGAGTCAGGATGTGGTCCAGGTGACGAGACGCACGTGGTCATCGGCCTCTAGTTTCTTAGCGTCTGTGCCGCTTCCATGACCTGTGCCGGTCTTCCGCAAACTTGACATTTTTCTCAAGGGTACAGCGGTTTGGGTCAGATGTTTTTTCAGGAAGAGATTCAGGTTCTGTGTTTAACCACTGCACTGATGCTGTGTCCTGTCGGTGCCTCACATGGTGAGGGCGGGGGCACCTGGTCTCCACCTGTCCTGTTATCCGTGCAGCTCAGGTTCTGATTGGTGCACCTGATTTCCTTCTGTCCCGTCATCCATGCAGCTTGGATTCTGATTGGTGCACCTGATCTCCTTCTGGCCCATTACCCATGCAGCTCGGGTTCTGATTGGTGCACCTGATCTCCTCTGTCCTGTTATCCGTGCAGCTCGGGTTCTGATTGGTGCACCTGATCTCCATCTGTCCTGTTATCCGTGCAGCTCGGGTTCTGATTGGTGCACCTGGTCTCCATCTGTCCCGTCATCCCTGCAACTCGGGTTCTGATTGGTGCACCTCGTCTCCATCTGTCCCGTCATCCATGCAGCTTGGATTCTGATTGGTGCACCTGATCTCCGTCTGTCCTGTTACCCATGCAGCTCAGATTCTGATTTGTGCGGAAGTTGCTGAAACCTCTCCAAAGCCATGTGCGAGATGTGAGCTCCTGGAAGAGGGGGCAGGAGAAGTAACAACTGGGGGTTCTGTGTCAGTGTATTTAGGCTGCTGCAGCCTAGGCGGCGCAAGCAACAGAGGTCTACCTCCTCCTGTTTCTGGAGGCGGGACGTCTGAGACCCCGGCGCTGCCAGGGCTGGTTTCTCCCAAGGCCTCTCCCCTCGTTGTGTCGACGGCTGTCCTTTTCCCGTGTCCCCACGCGGTTGTCCCGCTGTTTCTGTGTCCTAATCTTTTCTTCGTATAAGGACCTTTCTCAGATTGGATCAGGCCCATTTGAACAGCCTCATTTTTTTAAAAAATAGATTGTTTTTGATGTGGACCATTCTTACATTGTTTATTGAATTTGTTACACTATTGCTTTTGTTTTATGTTTTGGCTTTTTTGGCCTGGAGGCAGGTAGGATCTTGGCTCTCTGACCGGAGATTGAACCCCCGCACTGGAAGGTGAAGTTTTAACCACTGGACCAGCCGGGAAGTCCCGTAACGGCGTTATTTTCTCCCCATCATCTCTTTAGGCCCATCTCCAGCTACAGTCACATTCTCAGTGCTCGGGGTCAGGGCTTGGACTTACAGATTCCAAGGGGACACACCTCAGTAGTAACATCCCCTTGGGACTAGGCTGAGCCATCACCTCTTCAAAGGCCACCCCAGCCACAGTATCTACGGTAGCCCTGCCGTTCTCTCCTGCTCTGCCTTCAGCCATCGGTCATGTTATGCCTTTCTTTACTTACTTATCGTGTGCTCCTGCTAGCCAGCTACACGCACTGTCTGAATGATTGGTGGGGGCAATGCCTAAAGCCGGGCCTTTGTTTGGATGGGAGACCCTCAGTGAGCAGGGTGGGGCTCGGGGTCCCACCGTGTGACAGGGGACCCGGGGTCTTGGACGCAGCGAGTTGTCCGGGTGAACACTGGCCGGGGCCGGGCGGGGCCTGCTCCAGCTGCTGTTTTTCCTCATGCACCCCCATACCCTCAGTGCAGCCCCCACAGGGAGCGGGGCCAGAAGACCAGACAATGCCGAGAGCATCTGGGCTTGCCATCCAAAGAAACGTAAAATTCAATATAAATGCAAATACACATAGAAATAGAATTTGGGTTCAACGCAGAACAAATGCCAGGATCAGCAGAAGTCTTGGGCCTGCAGCTCCCGGCGGGCTGCAGTGGAGGCCTGACCAGCCGGTCACAGGGTCTGCCCTCACCTGCCAGGGCTGGGGTTTCCCTGCTGCCTATGGAGGCAACCCGGGCCCTGGTGACGGTGGTGGCCGCAGACAAACCTCGGAAGCCTTGACTCAACTGAGTGTCGGGGCAGGAGGCTAAGCCAGGAGACCTTCTGTTATCGCCTTTGGCTGAGAAGAGGAGAAACGCTGCTGGCTTTGCTGCTGGCAGCGGAGGTCTCCCGCCTGCCAGGCATGCCGGGTGACACCGGAGCCCCATCACCGGGTCTGGACAGGGCTCGTGTCTGGGCAGTGGGAGCCCGTCTTCTCCGTGGGCAGCTGAACTGCGCATTTCTCACGTGTCTGAAGAGGTCATAGAGGAGCAGACCTGTGCAGCCCCTCCTTGCTGGTTTGATTTCCTTGCAGTCCAAGGGGCTCTCAAGGGTCTTCTCCAGCACCACCATTCAAAAGCATCAGTTCTTCAGGGCTCAGCCTTCTTTATGGTCCAGGGAGATCAAACCAGCAGTTTATCAAATCATAAACGAAATTAACCCTGAATATTCATCGAAAGGACTGACTGATGCTAAAGCTCGCATATTCTAGCCACCTGATTAGAAAAGCCGACTCAATGGGAAATACACTGATGCTAGGAAAGATTGAAGGCGGGAGAAGGGGACGACAGAGGATGAGATGGTTGGATAGCATCGCCGACTCAATGGACATGAGTTTGAGCAGACTCCAGGAGATGGTGATGGACAGGGAGGCCTAGCGTGCTGCCGTCCATGGGGTTGCAAAGAGTCGGACACGACTGAGCGACTGGACTGCAGCAGCAACAGAGCAGCCTCTCGGGCCAGGGATGGGTCCCGCCGAGGTGTCTGCAGCTGAGACGAGAAGTGGCCGCCCCCTCCCACCTGCCAGAGACGCTCATGCATGTTCACTGACATCCTGGAACTCGAGCCATTTGCTGATGGCCCCGTTTAAACGAGCAGGGTGGGGGGAGGAGGATGCTGGGAAGAGAGCCCCTACCTGCCCGGGACTGTGAGTCACCTCCCCACATGTCGTGTTGGAAGCAGAAGCGCGCTCAGCGTGTGGGCAAGAGAAGCAGGTGGGCGGCGGGGAGCGCGCGGGGAGCCGAGGTTCCTGCAGCCCCGCGCCGGCCGCCGCACCTGGGCTCGGGAGCCTGGCACGGGGGCCAGAGACCGCCTGGCCCACTCCTGCCTGTCACCTGTCCCACTCTCTCCCTCCCTCCCTGCAGGCCAGCCAGCTGGGTGTGTACCGGGCCTTTGTGGACAACTATGAAGTTGCCATGGAAACAGCCGAGAAGTGCTGTCAGGCCAACGCTCAGTTTGCAGAAATCTCTGAGGTACGCGTGACGCTGCAGAGAGGTGTGCCCCTCCACCTCCCTGGGTGGGGCTGGAGGGAGGCGCCGTGGGCGATCGTGGGCACGCCGTGACCCCAGAGAACATGCGTTGCACACCAAGGGCTGGTCGTGAACCTCAGCTGTGTTTCTAGATGCCCACGAGTGGGCTCCGTCAGCCTCAGGTGGGGTGGGGGGCGGGGGGCGCTGTCCTGAGCAGCCTTGGGAGCTCCCTGCCCACCCAGCCGCCAGGGCCCAGTTTGGGGGTCCGTCTGTGCCCCCCGGGACGGACGCTGTCTTGTGCTGTCTGTGAGGCCCCCAGGAACAGAGGGGTCTCGACACCCGAGCCTGACATTGCACCTTGAGGGTGGAGAACAGGTGGGGGGCGTTGTGCTCCGCTCCTCTGGGGCTTACCACCAGCGTGGGGTGGGCTGCCCACCCACAACGGGGGGAGCTGCAGGCTGCCAGCTGCACCAGCCCGGCAGCTCGGAAACCTCGAGCCCTGGAGTCTTAGTACGAGGAGGGGCCTTAAAGAGCCCCCGGAGGCAGGAGATGGGCCACCAGGGAGTGCTGGTGGCCCCGCTGGGTCCTCCCCGCCCTGCCCACCCTGCAGTTCCCTGCAGTGGGGGGGACACCTTCCTCTTCCCGGGGCCCATCTTCCCCAGACCCCTGACCTGCCTGCCCTGCCAAGCAAGGATTCTGCGTGGGAAGACCTCTGAGTGAGAACTCAGCTGCTGCTTTTTTTTCTTAAACTTCTTACTTTTTGCCTGCTTGTGGGATCTTAGTTCCCCGACCAGGGATCGAACCCATGTCCCCTGCATTGGAAGCACAGGGTTTTAACCAGTGGACCCCCGAGGAAGCCCCAAGAACTCAGCTTTAGGAAGAGAAATGGAAACCAGAAACAGGGCAGGGCTCTCTGGCTGGAGACTGATCGTATGTGCGGACAGCCACACCTGGGCTTCGCTGCGGAACATTCGTGCTATTTCATAGCCTATCGGGCAGGTGGGCCCTGCGGGTCCCGGCGCTGATGTCCCCCCAGGGTGCCAACACATACCACCCCGACCCCCAGAGCCCGTGGGTGCCGCACGCACCCAGGGCCTCAGGCTGGCTCCACACTGCCCTCCACAGCTGCCCCGGTTGGCCTGGAGCTTTGGATCTGTTCCTCTCATTCGCCCATTAAACTAGCAGCTCTCACGCCCCCAACAGCTGGGGCACGGGCGCTGAGTCCCCAGGTGACCTTGACAAATTAAGAGTCGTGACCTTTTTAAGGTCAGACTGCACTTAAACGGGGCCACATTCACATCCACCCAGACAGGTTTCTACAGAAACGGGAGGAAGCGACGGTGGGACACGACCTGGGGCTCGCGGGGTCCCATCAACCACGTGCAGGAGGGGATCCGAGCCCAGACCCGGGCGCAGGAAACGGGGCAGTGCTCGGGAGCAGCCAGCGGCCAGGCTGCCGTGAAGTTTGTACCATCAGGCGGCGTCCACTCGGGCTCTCCATCCCTGTTTCCAAAAAGACGCAGAGAGGGACTTCCCTGGTAGTCCAGTGGCTGAGACTCTGTGCAGGGTTCAATGCAGGGTTCAATCCCTGGCCAGGGAACCAGATCCCACATGCCACAACAAAGATCCTGTCTGTGCTACAACTGAGCCAAATAACAAACAACAAAAAGAACAGGCCCAGAGAAATTAGAACCACACGAAACGTGAAATGAGCCACAAGGACATGGAAGGAGCAGGCCACAGGTGTAGGGATTTGCATTCAGGGGTGGGGGTCAGACCTCAGCTCTGGGGACGGGAGGTCCACCTCCAAGGACACGGAGCGGTGATCCTTCATCTCTCCCAGGACTGGCCTGATCCTGAGAGAGGACCAAATCCGTGTTTGGCATCGTCCGGTCAGACCGGAGTTACCCGTGCTGGGTTCCATGAGCCCGGGCTCCCTGGATAATAAACAGATGACAAGAAAAAAAGTGAAAATGTTAGTCACTCAGTCTTGTCCGACTCTTTGTGACACCCATGGATTATAGTCCGCCAGGCTCCTCTGTCCATGAAATTCCCCAGGCGAGTAGCCATTCCCTTCTCCAGGGGGATCTTCCCGACCCAGGGATGAAATCCAGGTCTCCTGCATTGCAGGCAGACTCTTTATCGTCTGCGCCACCAGGGAAGCCCCTGATAAATAGGTAATGGGAATCGAGTGAAAAGGGCTTCTGGAGTCTGTAGTCGGCTTGGGAGCTGCGGGGTTAAACCAGACTTGTAAGTTTCCTTAAGGCAGTTCCCCCCCCACCGAGCCCCCAGATGATGAAGGGGCCCACGTGCATCGTGCCTTCCAGGGGTGCCAAGCGTGGGCTGCCGCCCCGGCTCATCGGAGCAGCACCTGATTTTTGCAATTTGAGCTCACGCCCGCTCCCCACTCCCCCTCCCCTGCCCTCTGGGAGCTGCTGAGGCAGGCGGATGGAGGAGCCCCTGAGGAGAGCCAAAGCCCGGGCGGGTGGTGGGGGGCACCAGGCTGTGTCGGGCTTCTGGTCCCGGAGGGTTCCTGCGGCCTGAGAGGTTAGGGACGCGTCTCCAGGCCGCTGCTCGTCCCTCTGCTGGGTTTTCTCTTGCTCCCCATCCTTGCGCTGGAATTAACCACAGCGTCTTCCCAGGGACTATTTCAGGCACACAGGGCCCTTTCATTCCATTTCTCTTGGTACCTCGGACTGAATCCGCAGCTCCTGTGACGCGGTTATGTTGAAAAATGACCCACCCACTGAAAAAGCTCTGCCTGCTTCCCAGGCAAGGCCGTTTGCAAAGTCGGGAGAGGGTGGGATGGAGGCAGCGTGCCTGCTGGTGGCCGCCCCGAGGCGGGGTGCTCTGAGCAACCCCCCCTCCAGCCCCTGTGTCCAAGCACGCTGTTTAACTGAGGCGAGGACGCTGGTCCACGCTCCCAGGAGGGGCGCTGCCTTTGATCTGGGTTTGCCAGACCCTCTGCGTCGGAGGTCTCGGCCAGGGCCAATTGTGTCCCCTGGGGACACTTAGCAATGCCTGGGGACGTCCCAGCAGCAGGAGGGGCTGCTGCTGCTCCTATAAGATTGGGGCGCTGTTCAGCCTCCAGGGCGCCTCACCACGGAGACTTTCCAATGCTGAAGTCGGCCCCGCCCCTCACACTGTGCCCCAGACACACCCCTGAGGTTTGCTGCGTGAGAGGAGAGTGAGGTTGCTGCCCAAGCTTCCTGGGGGTAAGCTCGCTGCCGCCATCAAGGCCGCTCTGTTCACCCCACGTGAAAACGCGCTTTTCTCTGCAGAACCTGCGAGCCAGGAGCAACAAGGAGGCCAAGGACCAGACAACCAAGAACTCTCTGGAAAGTGAGTTCTCGGTGCCGAGGCCCCAGCGGGGCCCCCGGGGCGGAGGTGGGGGGTGGCCGCTGCGAGGGGACAGGGTGCCTAGCTGGGCCCCCGTCTGCTGCTGCAGACCTCCCTTCTCGAGGAGGGGGAGCAGGGAGCGGGCGGGACGCCCGCCCGGCCTCTGCAGCGCCTTACTGTCATCCAGCGACCTTGCAGGGGGATCACATCGTCCCTTCTTCCAGATGATGTGACAGGTTCAGGATGGAAGGAACTGTGTAGAAGGCAGGTCCCGAGTGGCTGGGCAGGGCTCAGAGCCGAGCGGTGAGGCCCCCCAGGCCTGTGTTTGCCTTCCTCCCTCTGGGCAGAGTGGGCTCAGGAACGGGAAGGTCCTTCTAACTTCTGGGTTTCAGAAGGATGTTCACTCACAGCACAGCACCTGTGATATGAGCTGGGGCTAGAGCTTCACCCCACCCTGAGCCAGTCTCCCCCGTGTCTCTGAAACGGGGGTGACTGCACACCTTGCACTGCTCATGGGGGTCATGGGCAGAGATGCCCCCAACACAGGAGAACACGTTAAGTTCTGTGCCCTCGATGGGCCGTGCCAGCCACGGAGAAGAGGGGACAGCCCCGGCCACTGGGGCTCCAGGCCGCTGCATCCAGGGGTCCAAAGATGCCCATAAGGCAGCTGAAGATCCTGCTCGCCTCAAAAATGATCAAAGATCCCGCCTCAGCCAAGACCCTGCACAGCCTGCATACATAAACACTAAAAAGCAAACGAGCTGACCCACCGGTTCAACCGGGAGCTGTGTCTCAGCATCAGGCCTGGATCCGCGTGGAGACCGGGGGCTGGTCTGCCTGCAGGGACCCGCACCGGCCCATCCTCCCAGGGAGCCAGCTGGCTCCCTGACCCCCGCCTTTGAGCGCCTGCTGCTGAGGCAGCCTCGCAGGCTTGGGTCCGGGATGAGCCCCGGACCCGGCGCTGATGTCACGGACCGAAAGCCCACAGCCACGGCCCCAGCCTTCCAAGGCGCCGGGCTCCCCCCGGGCCCGAGCAGAGGGGAGGTGTGGGGTGCCTCCTGCACCCTCGCAGCGAAGGCGGGCAGGTGGCCTCCTCCCCGGGCGGCCTCTCAGCCCCTGCCTGTCTCCCCGCAGCCCTGCTCTACAAGCCCGTGGACCGGGTCACCCGGAGCACGCTGGTCCTGCACGTGAGTCCCTGGGGCCCGGGGCCTCCGCGTCCTGGGGCTCTTGGCTTCTGCTGTCCTGGGGCTGACGCCGCGGTCTGTCAGCTCTGCCCACCTGCCCCCATTTCTGCCCCGCGCCTGTGCTGAGCATGCAGAAGTGAGGCAGCTCTCCTTTCCCGGGCTCCCAGGGTGGGAGGTGGTCCGGGGCTCCTGGTGCCTCATCAGAGCGGGCACAGGCGGGGAGGGCCTCGAAGATGGAGACGCGCTCCCGGGGGAGGGGGCAGGGCACGGATGCCAGGTGCCCGCTGGGACCGTGGTCGAACCACACCCGTCACCAGACGTACGGCGCGTGGAGGTCCTGCTGGCGGGGCTGCTCCTGAGGACAGCGGGGAGTCACTCACACGTTATTAAGTGGTCGTGTTCCGTGTGTGTGTGTGTGTGTGTGTGCCCGCGCACTCAGTCGTGTCCGACTCTCTGCAGCCCTCTGGACCGTAGCCCGCCAGGCTCCTCTGTCCGTGGGATTCTCCAGGCAAGGATACTGGAGCGGGTTGCCCTGCCACCCACTGGAGTGGGATCCCACTGGAGTGGGATCTCCCCAACCCAGGGATCGAACCTGCGTCTCTTAAGTCTCCTGCATTGGCAGGCGGCTCTTTACTACTCATGCCGCCTGGGCAGCCAGTTTGTCTTAATACCGAGAAACGAAAACAGAGGGAGAAAGGCCCCCAGCCCTAGTGCCTGGTGACCCTATCCATGGGTCTTTAGAGCAAGTCTTACACACGCATTTTTAAAAAATGTACGACCAGCTCGCAGAAGCCTATAAAGTGTGCGTTTCCTTTCCTGCTCCCTCCCCATAAGGGACCCTCCACCAGGAGGATCTTTAATGCTGACACACGTGACGTACTTTTAATCACTCACACAGGCGGCCGGGCCTACGGTTCTGCGCGTGGCCTTTGGCCGCTGTGTGCTGCGTCAGGGCGGTGGTGCCCAGGCAGCTCTGCCTCATTCTTCCCTGGGCTGCGTGGTTCCCCCCCAGTGCACGTTTCGTAATGTCTTACGTCGCAGAGAGCGTGGATGGAGGACGGTGAGCTGAGATTTGCGGTTTGCACGTTTGCCAGGATCTGGTGTTGGAGCCCTGGAGGCCCTTCATTTGATCCCCTGGCAGCTATGCGCCCAGGCCTGGGGGGACTGGCCTGGGACCCCCACTCGGGAGTCCCCCCGACTTGTCTCATCTCCCTAGGCTCTTGTTGCTGTAGGATTTAGGAGCCAAGAGGGTTCTGTGTCTCTGGACCCGGGAGCCGTTGACTTTGAGCCGTTGAGCTCAAATGACGGGCATTCCCCAGGGAGAGGAATTCCCAGGCTCTGACCTAAGAGAGCAGGAGTCGGGAAGGTTGGGGGCTTTCTCCTGACCTCGCACAGACCAGCGCACCAGGGTGGTCTAGATGGACACGAAACACGTCCAGAGGCGGTTTCACTTGATACCACCACACATGAGTGGGTACCACTGGCATCGAGTGGGCCGAGGCCAGGGATGGTGCCAGCCTCCTGCAGGGCACGGGGCCGCCCCCTCCCAGAGCTTCCCGGCCCTGGCTGGAGGAACCTGCCCCAGAGCCGCAGTGTGGAGCCCCTCTAGGCAGCGTGCAAACGGCATTGGCTTGCAGGCTCCACTCGGGACCACCCCCAGGCACTGTGCTCCGTCATGTGGCCCCGGCAGTCAGAGGGGCGTCCCCGGGTCCGCACCCCCCCCAGCGCGTCTGCGGCTCTGACTCGACCCTTCCCCCAACACAGGACTTGCTGAAGCACACGCCCCCCAGCCACCCTGACCACCTGCTGCTGCAGGACGCCCTCCGCATCTCGCAGAACTTCCTGTCCAGCATCAATGAGGAGATCACGCCCCGCCGGCAGTCCATGACCGTGAAGAAGGGCGAGGTGGGTGCAGCGGCCACTGCCCCGGCGGGGGACGCAGGCCCCCGTTGTGTCCCTGCAGCCCAGCTGGGCACAGCGACGCCTGGCCCTGGCAGGGTGGACCCCGGCCAGCGGGCGGGACGTCCGGGTGGGGTTGCAGGAACGTGGTGGCCTCACGGTGAGGGCTGTGTCCTGAGCCCCTGACACTTCTGCCAGATAGGGGTCCCCAGCTGGGGAGATGGACCAGAAGGCAGACGGCATTTGTCTGCCTGGAGACCACTCCGTGCCCCTCTGACTGTTCTTTCACGATAAGACAGTTGACAGCGGGTTTAAAGACTCCCTGAGGAAGTAAGGGAGCGGGGCGTGGTGTGCTCGTAGCTGAGAATGGGGTTGACGCCCTCTGGGGGTTCCCCTCTCCCTCCTCCCCCCACACCCCCCACTGAGAGTCCCTCTTGCCCTCTGTCGTCCCTGGAGGAGAGGGTGTGTGGCACAGAGGGGCCAGGTACCACCCCGGCTGCCTCCGCCCTTCCCGGGAGGGGCCCGCCCGTGCCAGGCAACTTGCAGTGAGATGGCAGAGGTGTGCTAGTCGGGGGGCGGCATCCAGAGTGAGCACCCTTTGCCGGACGCGCACCGGGGCGGGTGTAGGCAGGGACGGGGCCGTGTGGGCCGGGCGGTGAACCTGACTGCCTCCGCCACTGGGAGCCGCTTCCTCCCCTGCCCGCTCCTTCAAGTCCCGGGGGCTCAGCAGTTCCCGGTCTGACCTGCTGGGCACTCGGGGCAGCCAGCAGGTGGCTCTTGGCCCTAAGCTCCTAACCTCTGGGGGAAGTCATACCTGAGTGCCCAGTCTCCCTGGTCACCAGTTCACACGACCTCAGCAGACACGGGAGTTGCTCCCGCCAAGACGGCCTTCCCGTGGGCTCTGTCTCCCCTCCCGGGAAGCGGCTTCAGGGCGCCTCGGGTCTGTGCCGCGCCTCCCGCTGCAGCGGGCATCCCCAAGGAGAGGCGCCTTCCTGCTTCTCCTGTCGCTGGAAACAACTGCCTTTGGCCAGGTGTCGCCTGCAGTTGGCAGCCAGGCCCTTGTTGCTGTGTCTCCATCACAGGCCTCCTTCCCTGGGGACCACGGCTGGGGTCCTGGGGCGCCTGAGCGGGATGGAGTGTGGAGGGGCTGGGGCTCCGCGGGGACTGGCCTTCTGCCTGCCGCCCCCCGCACCCCCACCCGCATGCGGCCCTGGTGGCCTGTGGCATCTGCTCTTCGGGGGAGTCGTGTGGGTGCCTCGGCCGCGAAAAGCGGGGAGGAGGGCCAGTGACCCTGAAAGGTCGTGAGTCTGCCTCACCACGGCCCTCCGTTCAGGGCTGTCTGCTGGGAGCACAGTAAGGGATGTAGGTGGCGGCTAGGCCAGGATGCGGGCTTCCCTGATGCCTTGGTGGCAAAGAAATCTCCCTGCCAAGGCAGGAGATGCGGGGTCCATCCCTGGTTGGAAAGGTCCTCTGGAGAAGGAAATGGCCACCCACTCCGGTATCCTTGCCTGGGAAATCCCACGGACAGAGGAGCCTGGGGGGCTACGGTCCACGGGGTCACGAGGAGTCGGACACGGCTGAGTAACTAAACCATCACCACCAGCAGGATGAAGGCAGGTGCACCCCTGTGCCGGTCCAGGGCAGACAGGACTAATCAATCAGTGACTGATGGATCAGGGAGCCCCTCCCAGACTGCCCCAGGCCTTGCTGGTTAAGGACGCCTGTCCTGGGTTCTGCCCACCGCACCAGCAGTGGACCCAGCTGGGACCCCCCTTCTCCTCACCGAGTGCAGTGACTCAGTGGAGCCGTCTCCTGGGCTGCAGCGCCCCCACTCCCAGGGCCAGAACGTGCTGAACGCAGCCCCTGCTGGGAGCCAAGCCGGGCCCACCCGCTCCTCGCCTCCAGCACCTCCTCCCGTCCTCTTGGCCCCCACCTGGGCCATCCGTGGTCACTCTGTCCTCCCGGCGCCCGCGTCGCACCGTGGTTCCCTCGGGTGCTGTCCTCGTCGGCTGGGGCTGGGGGCAGCCTGTAACAAAGCGCCGTCAACCAGAGGGCCTTCCGCCCCGGACGTCGGCGTCTCACTGCTCTGGAAGCTGGAAGCGGAGCTCAGGTGCAGCGCGCTCGGGGGGCCGCTGGGGGCCGCCTCCTGCTCTCGCACGGCCGACGAGGGGCCGTGTTGTCCGGGTGGCCGCTGGAGGCGGCCGGCCGGCCTGGGGGAGACCCTCGAGAAAGAGGCGCTCCTCTGAGACACACGAGGTAACCCCTTTGTCTGGGGGAATGGGGGAGATGGTGTCTCCCCGGCAGAGGCGTTTTGGGGATCAGCGGGGACCTAAGCACGGGGAGACTGTGGACCAGGGCCCCGGCCCCCAGAGGACTCAGCAGAGGGGAGCCGGGAGCCCACCGGGGAGGTCTTTTTGTCCCCGACTCGAAGGACACTGAGGCTGGGGGAAACCAGGCGTCCGAGCCAGCGACCTCATTGCAGAGAGAGGGGAGAAGGGGGTGCGGACTCGGGGCCGGGCGCGGTGGACGCGGCTCCCCGAGGGTGAAGCCGTGTCTCTTGCAGGAGGCGCCGGCCCGCGCCCTTGGCACCTTCCCTCGCAGCCCCACTGCATGCAGCGGGCCGTGGGCACGTGGGACACACGGGGCAGGGAGGACACGGGTGTGCACACGGGGGCACAACTGGAGACACATGCAGACCGGGGCCCACCCGCACACCAAGGGGACACGCACACACACGGGACACACACACAGATGCCCACAGACACACACACACACACAGAGACAGACACAGACACACACAGTCCGTCGCCGCCCCCAGGGTGAATGGGGAGGGGCCTGGCTGCCAAGTCTGCCCCTCAGAGCCCCCCGCCCCCTCATCTGAGCCGGCGCCCACTAACACGGAGTGGCGGGTGCAGGGCCTGATGCTGGTGGCCCTGGAGGGTGCAGGTGGTGCCTGGGGCGGGGAGAGGGGTGCTCACGGGGTCCGTCGGGGCCGGGACCTCGGGCGATTCCTGCCTTCGGGCCCTGCCGCCCCGGGAACGTCCGCCTCTGAGCTGGAGCTGGGGCGCCCTCTGCTGGCGGTGGCCAGAAGCTCCGCCCCTTCCGCCTCCCGGTCCCCCACTCAGAAGGTGCCCTGGTGCCGCCTCCTGGGCTGGAGAACCGTCTGCCGAGCCCCTGCCGAGGGGCATCGCCCCGTTCGTCCTCGAGGACTTCAGTGTCCCGGGACCGGCCCCCCCAACCCCCCGGCACAGACCCCCTGTCAGGCGCCCACGCCCCCACACTCCCGGGGGCCACGGGCAGGCAGAGGGCGGTGACCCCGCATCGTGGCCTTGGCACATGGGCAGCCCTCCCGCCCTTGCACATACGGTGCGGTCGGCGCGGGCAGCGCCCGTGTGAACCATCTGTGCCCTGTGCCAGGGCCTGGCGGGCTGCCGTGAGCCCAGCTGCAGGTGACGGTGATGTGGGCGTGGGGGGCGGGCGGCCCAGGCTGCACTCGCTTCTGGGGGGGCCCTGGCTGAGCATTGGCAGGGGGTTCAGGGAGGCACAGCCTCCCCAAGAAGAATCTAGGGTGCGGGTGGCAGTGGACCCAGGTGCCCGGACCCGCCGGGGGCCGCCGTGGTGAGGCGGCTCTGGGGTTCTGCACGATGAGCGGGCCTGACACTCTGCACTCCCCACCCCCCCTGCCAGCCATTGCAGACTGGGGGGCGTTGCGCTTTCTGAGGCGCCTTCCCTGAGGCTGGGTGGGCAGGGTCCCTCTCCTCCCAGGCACAGACCCCTAAGTCCCTGCTTGCTTTCTGCACTGCCGGGGGTGGGTGGCGGAGCTCCCTGTCTGCAAAGTGGGCACAAGGACCCGCCCCCCCGGGGTGTGCTGGGGTTGCCTCCAGTGGCCAGTGACCAGGGATCTGGGGCGTGCGTGGGGCAGCCTCTCTTCCTGTCCTCGGCACGGCACAGCCTTGTTCCAGCTGACGAGGTGGTGGCCGCTGGTGTCGGCTGATGACCGACCTACCACCACACGCCCTGGACCTGTGCGAGCTGGGGAGCCCCGTCCCTGTATTTCAGGGAAGCCCCCAGGGCGGAAGCACGGGGCTTGCTGCGGGGCTGTTGCCTCGAGTTCCCCTGCTGTTCAAGGCCTCCTCAGGGCTCGGGGCCAGCATGAGAGATGTGAACCCCGTGTGGGCTGCTGTCCTTCAGTGGGCCATGACCTGAGACAGACTGGAATGTGGGGTCCCAGTTGGGGGACCCCTGCCCGGCCGTCTGATGCCTGCAGATCCAGGCCTGGCCCTGAGCGTGACCGCTCCCCGCTCACCAGGCGGCTGTCCGTGCTGAGAACCGGGCCCTTTTCGCCAGCGTGGTGGTGGTCCCCGCACGAGATCATCCCCTCTTCTCCTGGCCGGCCTCCCGCCTGGGTCTCTGGGACTGTCCTGGGGAGGGAGGCGCGGGTCACCCTTGCTCAGACAGGCTCTCCATCCCCCGGGCTGCACCGTGCCCTCTGGCCTCCACGCCGGCGGCTGGGACCCTGTCCATGCACCTTCCCCCACAGGCTGTGTGCCCCGGGCACTTGGGGACTTTAGTGGACAGAGGGCGAGGGGTGTGAGGTGTTTGCAGGTGAAGGGGGCACTGGGAGGTGGAGGCGGGGGGCAGAGGCCCCAACCCCTGCCGTGACCACCCCTCTCCCGCCCTGCCCGCAGCACCGGCAGCTGCTCAAGGACAGCTTCATGGTGGAGCTGGTGGAGGGGGCCCGCAAGCTGCGGCACGTCTTCCTCTTCACCGACCTGCTGCTCTGCACGAAGCTCAAGAAACAGAGCGGGGGGTGAGTGACCGCGCGGCCCCCGGCCCAGCGGTGGGTCCGGGGCACCCGGGGTGGCTTCTGCAGAAGGAGACTGGGTGTTCTTGCCAGTCAGCTTGCAGAGGTCATCCCCCTGTGGGCCAGGCCACCCTCGTTAAGCTACAGTCTGTTTCCAACTGGACGTGGTGCCAGGCTCACGGCCAGAGGTCATCATTAGCAGATGTCCTGGGTCAGCGTTAGTGACTGGGCTGTTGACTTTTAACAGGAAAAGGGGAACCTGACAGTGACTTCGGGGGGAGCTGTCAGGTCATGACCCAGAGAGGTCTGGGGGTTCAGGGTCTGCTGCAGGTGCGGCATGCACGGTGCCTGCCCCTCCCCGGCCCTTGGCAGACATCACCAGCTGATGGCCAAGAACGTGGTGGCTTCTAAGTGGCTCTCCGCCCTGGCCTGCAGACCCCACCCAGCCCCTCAGGGATCAGACCGCCCAGGGTGCAGGGGCAGCAATGAAGGAAAAGACAAGTCACCGAACTGGGCTCTTCAGCCGTTGCCATGCTGAGTGGATTTAATCAGAAGAGAGCTTCAGTTTCCCCGTCTGTCTGTCAAGAGAGGGGGGTTACACTGGGTGGATTTGCAGCCCCTCAAACTACAGGTCTGAGGGCATCTGCCCTGACAGTCATTGGCAGCCCAGGTGGTCTCCCACATCAGGAGAGAGCGGATGAGGGCATGTCAGACCTCTGGGGCCTGCGTCCCATGTGAGCAGCGCCCCTGCACAGGGGTCACCAAGGCCGGGTTGCCAGTGTCTGCCTGTGACCTCATGCCAGCCTGTCTTGGGGACCACAGGCAGGGTTTGAAGGTCGGGTAGATGTCACGGCCATGACCTTAGGGCTCCCAGACTGGAAGGCAGTGACTTAAGCGGAGGGAGGTGGGCAGCCTGTTGATGTATGCCCCCACCACCCTCCCCCACCCAGCAAAACCCAGCAGTACGACTGCAAGTGGTACATCCCGCTCACGGACCTCAGCTTCCAGACGGTGGACGAGTCGGAGGCCGCGCCCAACATCCCCCTGGTGCTGGACGAGGAGCTGGACGCCATGAAGATCAAGATCTCCCAGATCAAGAGTGATATCCAGAGAGAGAAGGTGGATGGATGGTGGTGGGCGGGGGGCCAGGCTGGCTGTGCAGCTCCGGGGGCAGCAGCGCCTCCCAGCGGGCAAGCTCTGCTGAGCCTCTGACCCACTGCGGGCCTCTGGGGCCTGCTGGGACCCCGAGAGCACTTGGAGCGTCAGGCGTCCCGTCAGACGGGGAGCCGTCCAGGGTTAGGTCTGGAGCAGTTGCCCGCTGCCCCTGTTACAGCTGCCCCGATGGGGAGCGAGTCCCAGGTGGGGGACGCTGCCCCTCCGGAGCGTCTGACCTGCATCCAGCAGACCCCTGGCTGTTTCTGGAGAGGAGCAGTGTTCTGAGGGAACAGCGGGGGCGAGCCCCCAATCTGTAGGGTCTGTAGGTACTGTGTGGTGGTCAGAGACGGGGTGGATCCCCAGAAGGTTGATGACCAGGGACAGCAGATGCTGCGGTGGGTACAGCGGGGCAAGCATCCTTCACGGCCCGCCCCTGCCCACCCTGCTGCACCCCCCCCCCCCAGGGGATGGGGGAGCCCCGGACCGGTGTGAGCTTCTAGGTTGTCTGTCTGGCCGGGGCAGAGTGTCCCAAGGGCTGTCGAGCCCTGTCCACTGCTGGACTTGTCCAGGCCGTGCCCCTGGGACGGAGGCTTCAGGAGGGCGGCAGACGGCAGGGGGAAGGGAAGGTTCTCCCTGCCAGGTCCTGGGGGCGTGTCTCACCCTGCACAGGCCCCTCGCTCCCAGGGGACGTGACGCTGAAATGTGCAAGGGAGGGGCCTCAGGGTCACCACAGGCCCCTGGATGTTGCCCTAAGTTTGGAGAGAGTGAAAGAAGGGAGGTCCGTGCGAGGAAGGACTTACTCCCTCAAGGAGCGGGGACTGAGCACTTCTGGCAGCCCGCGCCCGGCCTGGACGGTATGGCCCAGGCCCTGTCCACTGGCTTCTGTCCTCTGCGGACTAAGGGCCCGGCCCGGGGCAGGCTGAGCAGGAGCGGGCAGGGCTGGACCCCTGACTGCATCCTCTCCCCGCAGAGAGCGAACAAGGGCAGCAAGGCCATCGAGAGGCTGAAGAAGAAGCTCTCAGAGCAGGAGTCGCTGCTGCTCCTCATGTCCCCGAATATGGCTTTCCGCGTGCACAGCCGCCACGGGAAGGTGCGTGACCACCGGCCACGCCACGCAGGCCACGGCCCCGTCCGCTGGCCACACTGCGGGTCACGCCCCTCACAGGCCGCGCCCCGTCCGCAGGCAGGCCACGCCCCCGTCCGCAGGCAGGCCACGCCCCACCTGGCAGCCAGGTCACGCCCACAGGCCAAGCCGCCCCCCGCCGGCCACCGCCTATCACGCCCCCACTGGCCACGCCCCACCTGCAGGCCACGCCCACTCCCCATCCCCACCGGCGGCCTGTGGTCCCTTTTCGGCCCCAGAGACTTGTGCAGCACGGCACCCCGGCCCGGGGGCACCCCTCTCTGGGGCTCTGGCCCGGACCCCCACAGCTGGGAGGTGGCGGGGACTCTAGGGGCGTCTCCGTAGGTTGGGGGCTCACAGGCTCTCAGTGCAAGGATGCAGTCTGGGGGCTTTCTACCCTGAGGGCCTTTCTCTGTGGGCATCACACGCCTGCCAGGGGCCTCGCGGGGGCCCCTGCCTCCGCGTCAGGGCCCGGGCTGGTGGGCATCAGCCCTCCGCTCGGCACACCCGTCCTGGGGACTCGGTGGCCCTGCGCTGCGACGTGTCACCCTGACCCAGGCGGCCAGGGGGTGCAGGAGCAGGGCTGCTAGCGCACCCCACGCCCCTCCCCCCAGCTCTGATGCCTGCAGCGCGGGGCTGTGGGTCCCCCAGGCGGGTTCGCTGCCGGCTCCACGTGGTGGCCGGGAAAGAACCCGGTCTGCTGGGCGCCGGTCAGCGGGGAGGCGATAACTGGGACATGGTCTCCCCCTGCCCCCAGAGTTACACGTTCCTGATCTCCTCCGACTACGAGCGGGCCGAGTGGAGAGAGAACATCCGGGAGCAGCAGAAGAAGTGTGAGTGGCCCCTGGGCTGGGGCGGGGGGGCTCCAGATGCGGGTTCAGGGGCATCGGCACTGTGGTCTCTGACCTCGTTTTCCCCAGCGGGCTGGGCCGTGGAATTCACCCAAGTGAGGTGCGCCGTGGAGTCCTAACGCAGGAGACACCTGAGGAGGGCTGAAAGGACCCCCTGCCCTCCGTAGCCGCCCACCACCAGCCTGCCCGGGCCCTCCCTGAGCTCCCCCCACCCCGCCTCGTGGGTCTCCTGCCCCGACCCCTGCCTGCCCCTGGGGCCCCTGACCTTCCCTGAACCCCCCTCACCCCTGCCTCGCCCCACCTGGCCCTTAGCAGCTCCTCCCTGGGAGCATGTGGACCCTGTGGGCCTCCTCACCGGGGTGTGCTGAGGGCCCGCTGCAAGGATAGCTGGAGAAAATGCTCCAGGGGGTCCCGGGGGCTCCAAGGAGCCAGGTGGACTCACTGGCTGGCGCCCCTGTGCCCCCATCTCAGGTTTCAAGAGCTTCTCACTGACGTCCGTGGAGCTGCAGATGCTGACGAATTCATGTGTCAAACTCCAGACCGTCCACAGCATCCCGCTGACCATCAACAAGGAAGGTGGGCCGCCCCCTGCTCCGCACCCTCCAGGCCGCCGTTCCTTACTGCTGTTGGCGCTGTCCTGGGGCTGGGGACCTGCGTGCCCGGGGTTGTGTGTGCTCCTGTCGGCTTCTCCCTGGAGTGGACGGGACAAGTTGGGGTGACCCAGGAGACCGGAGTCCTGAGCCGCTCCTCAGACCCTCTGTGCTCTGGGTCTGGCCCTGCTCCCCGTCTCCCCACCAGCCCCCACATGTGGTCGTGCCGCACCTGCATTCACTGTTACACTCATGCACACGCGCTCGCACATAAGAGCGTGCTTCCATGTGACGTGCTTCCCGACTCCTGTCCTGAGAACCCGTCACGTCTCATCTCCGTCCCTGGTTTGCCCACGTTGTGAACTTAGGACTCGATCCTAAGGTCCCCGAGAACAGAGGCCACAGCGGATGTGTTTCTGCTCACGTTGTCGCCTTGTCCCTGGCTAAGCAAGTGACAGTCACGTGGTGCCCCCCGTGAGGGTCCTTGAAGCAGAGCCCTGTCACCTGCCTGCCCCTCCCAGGAGGACAGGCGCTCACATCTCTGGTCTCTTGCACAGATGACGAATCTCCTGGGCTCTATGGGTTCCTGAATGTCATCGTCCACTCTGCCACCGGCTTTAAGCAGAGTTCAAGTAGGTGGCTGGTGTGGGGAGTAAGGTGGCCGGACCCTGAGCCGGAGGGTGCGGGGACCAGGGAGGCGGCTGACCACCCGGAGGTGTGGTGCTCGCTAACGCCCACTGGGCGTGGGGTTGCTTCCCGGGGTGGAGCTTGCCTTTGCCCGCATCTGGCTCTTCAGACGCTGGGAGCTGCCCCCTGCAGGCAGGTCATGCAATTGTAGAGGTCAGGTTTTGCTACAGACAAGGAAATCAGTCCTGAATATTCATCAAAAGGACTGATGCTGAAGTTGAAACTCCAATACTTTGTCCACCTGATGCGAAGAACCGACTCATTAGAAAAGACCCTGATGCTGGGGAAGATTGAAGGCAGGAGGAGAAGGGGACGACAGAGGATGAGATGGTTGGATGGCCTCACCGACTCGTTGGACATGAGTTTGAGTAAACTCTGGGAGTTGGTGATGGACAGGGGGGCCTGGTGTGCTGTGATTCATGAGGTCGCAGAGTCGGACACGACTGAGCAACTTGAACAAGAAGAACAAAATGCAGCCTAGGTCTCCAGGAGGCCGAAGGCTGGCACCCCGACCCTGTGCCGAGGAGGTTTTGCTGCTCTGATGTTCGGAAGGGATACCCTTTTAATCCTTCGCCTTGGGGGCTCCTGTCCAGCCACTCTGGGTGGTGAGGGTTGGTCGCATTTCGGTGCAGGCTCAGCACACACTCACCCGTCAGCCCGACCCCCAAGCTCTTAGGGCCCCTTGGAGGAGGATGCGGGGCAGCCACCCTTCTGCTGACCATGCCACTGTCGCTACAAAACCAAACAAGAAGTCCCTGATGAGCCCCAGAAGAGAAGCTATTTCCAGGCCGGGTGGATATGATCAGGGCTTTGTATCCAGAATATATCAAGAAGGCTTACAGTGCCATGCCTGAGACAGCCCAGTCTTTTAAAAATGAGCAAAAGATTTGGATAGATGGAAAAAGCAGATTTATAGATTTGTGGTTGAATGGGAAAAATGGGCCAAAGAGATCTTTTTAGGAGTGATGGAAATGCACTAAAATCAGATGGCGGTGATGCCTGCAGGATTCTGTAAACTCACCCAGAAGCACCCAGCTGGACACTCACAGTGGGTGAACATGAAGGTACAATCGTTCACACCTCAGTAGAGCCGTTTTTTAAAGTAAGCAACACAATTTCTGTTGGATAAGTTGTAACTATAACTAGGTTTGAATAAGCCTGAATACTTATTCAACTACACATTTTCCTTTACCGTATAGTAACTTTATTAATAGGGCTTCCCAGGGGGGGTCAGACAGTAAAGAATCTACCAGCGATGCAGGAGACCCAGGTTCAATCCCTGGGTCGGGTAAGATCCGCTGGAGAAGGGAAGGGCAAGCCACTCCAGTACTCTTGCCTGGAGAACTTCATTAATACGCGGATGGAGCGAGCCCCGCCGTGAACAGGGGAGCGCATGTAATGACAGGTGCAGGCTTCTAGCTGCACTCTTGTGATATGAGGCAGCCACTCTTGATGGCACTGGTTTGGTGTCTTGTTTTAGAAAGAAAACAGAACTCTTCCCGGTAGTCCAGGGATCAGAATTTGGTGCTTCCACTGCAGGGGACGAGGGGGGCACCGGTTCCATCCTGGGTTGGGGTCCCGAGATCCCGCAGGCATCACAGCGCTACCAAAAAAAAACCCCAAGACTTTTGTGTGTGTGTGTGATTTAGAAAATAACACCTGCTTTTAAGAAATATGGGTGACAAAGGGCCACGTGGTCAGTCCCGCTCTCCGTGTGGCCCTGCGCAGGTCTGTACTGCACCCTGGAGGTGGATTCCTTCGGCTACTTTGTAAATAAAGCCAAGACGCGCGTCTACAGGGACACGGCCGAGCCCAACTGGAACGAGGTGAGGCCCTGCTTCTGGGCAAGCGCAAGGCGCTGCATCCGTGGGGTGTGCCCCCCGAGGGCTTCCCCGCCGGCCTCCGTGCCAGCAGTGTTCCCGGAATCTCCCAGGGGAGCAGGCGGGCCAGGAGATTTTATCTCCGTGTTCCTGAGAATTCGCCTGCACACACACCCTGCTCCGCCAGTGACAGAGACACTTGTTTTGCTGGCAGAGTGTCTGGAAAAAGAGCTTTAAAGGGCTTACCTTTAAGGCCCTTGTTGCTGAGTTTATCTAGGAGGTTTCCATGGTGTTTTTGCTCGGAAATTGGAATGAGCCTTGGGTGCCGTGACACTCTTAGTGCCCGGAAGCCGGGGCTCTGCTCCTGGGGCGGGGGCTGGGGGGTGCCTCGCTGGGCTGGAGAGGACCCTGGTCTCTTTTCTCAGCATCACTTTCATGATCATTAGATGTGCCACACGCCGCCATCGGGCCGGGCATCTGGGGAGCCAACGGACCTACCTGGTCCTTAGAACTCCGGGCGCCTGCGCTAAGGGCTGTCCCTCGATTAAGGATGGGGTGGGGTGGGGGGGTGTCAGAGCCAGGCAGACCCATCCAGGAGGGCGTGACCCCGGAGATGCAGCACACGCCAGGTTCTGGACACTGCCAAGGGGGCTGCAGAGACTGAGCTTGGGCTGAGGGCCTTCAGGGCAGCCCACCACCCTGGTTGCACGTGTGGACCATCTAGGTTCTTGCAGGTTCCTGGCACACGCACCGTCCCCCCCTGCCCCCATTCAGGCTCAGAAATACCTGCTCTCCCGACCCCCTGATCCCTGTTTCCCCACCAAGAACCCATGCTGGCGAAAACCCTGGTGGGAAACGCCGGAGTTCCCAAGGTGTCATGGGGATGACGGAGGAGGAAGCAGGCCCCATGCATCCCGCAGCAGACACGCTGAGAGCCTGCAGGGGAACCTCTCTTCCCGGGTCCCTCTTTTGCCTCACCTGGGTCGATGTTTTTGTTTTCCCAAATAGACCGCCCTCGGGGCAGCTTGAGGTCCGCAGCAGAGCTGAGCGGAAAGGAGAGGACACTCCTGTGTCCCCCAACCCTGGCCCCCCATGTGCACCCACCTGGGTGGGCACTGGTCATGATCAGTGGGCCTCCAGAGACACACCCCCAGAGCCCACAGCGGGTCTACGTTTGTAACCAGCGCCACCCTTCCAGGGCCCCCGGTGCAGGTGGGTGGGGGACCACCCTGTGAGATGCTGGCTCCAGGAGCTTGGGTTAGGCGTGAGAGGGGCCCAGAGCTTCCGGGAGCTCCCAGACTGGCAGTGTGACGTTCCTGGGTCCGCGGCTGCCGAGGGTCTGCATCTCGGGCAGCAGTGGGGAGGGCCCGCCGCAGGGCCTCGGGGGAGCTGTCGGTGTGGGAAGGGCTGCGGGTCAGGGGCCCCTTGGGCCGGCAGCGCTGAGCGCCGCTCCGCCGGCCCGCCCAGGAACCCGGGCCTTCCTGCTCTCTCCGGGGCGCAGGAGTTCGAGATTGAGCTGGAGGGCTCACAGACGCTCAGGGTCCTGTGCTATGAGAAGCGCCACCGCCGGGCCCGGCTCGCCAAGGAGGACGGCGGGGAGAGCGTGGACCGGATCGCGGGCAAGGGCCAGGTGCAGGTGAGGCAGCCCCGCTCCCCGTGGGCTCCGGGGGCCCCAGCCCAGACCCGCGCACGCCTCCCCCGGCGCCCCGTGCTCTTCCCCGCCTGACGCCCAGGGACGCCGAGGGGGGGTTGGGGGGACAGTGAGGCAGGCCGGCTCTGAATCCTCCGCCATGGGGGACCTGGGCTGGTGCCATCGTGGGTCCCTTTCGGCCCCGGCCTGTCACTCAGCCTCTTGTCCCCATGGGAATTCCAGCTCTGCCTGTTTTTCCGGGAGGCCTTGTGCCTCCCTGGCCTCTGGAGAGCCCGAGGTGGCGCCCTGCAGGGTTGCCTTTGGCAGTCAGGAGCCGCCTCTAATTGGAAAAACATGAGACTGAGTCTCCCCGCCTGGCACCCCCTCTCTGGCCTGTAGACCCCGCTTCCGGGCCTGCAGCTACCTCCCTCCGTGGGGTGGGCGCTGTTTCCCCCCGACCCCCGGAGCTGGCAGAGGAGCCCCAGGGGGGTGAGGAGGAAGTGGCCACGAGGACCGGTGAGGGGTCCCCAGGTTCAAGCCCTCCAGGCCCTCAGCCTTCTGAGCACGGGACGCGCTCCGGCTTTCACGGAAGCACCCGCCTTGTGCTTCTCACAGCCTCAGCTGCAGGCTCTGCACCCCAGGAGGAAGCCCCAGCACCCTCTTTCCTTACAGGGCAGCTGACTGGACCCAGCTAAGGGGGCTCCTGCCTGCCCTGCCCCGGAGGTGGGCCCTGACTGCTGCCCCGGTGCCCCGGGAACCCCCCCCCCACAATGAGGCCTCCTGGGGGAGTGGCTGGACGTGCCAGGGGGCCACGGAGGACAGGGCTCCCCAGGGGGCCCCGCCTCCCTTCCCGGGTGCAGGACGTGAAAACCCTCCAGGCAGAGAAGGTGCCTCACACCCCACGACCCTGGGGAGTCCCCACCCGGCCCCACCACGGCTGGCTGGCTGGCTTCCCGGGAGGGGCATGGTGCCGGAGAAGCTGCTGAGGGAACTGGCCGGCTCGGGGCCTCCAGGGACCCCTGTCCCTTGGGACCGGGTCTGAGAGCCAGGGTGCCCCTCCGATCACCCGTCTCTGCCGCACTCCGCCACCTGCCAGCCAGCACCACAGGGCAAGGGCGACGGGTGTGGGGGCGGCAGTCCTGGCTGCGCTGAGACCCAAGGACAGGAGGCTCACGGCGCCTGGGGCTGGGCTCCCCTCGGCCGGGGCAGCCCAGCGTGGCTGTGACTCTGGAATCCCAGGGATTCCAGCCTCACTGCTGACCGCCCTGTTTTTGTCTTATTTTTTCTTTTTAAGTGGTCACTTAAAAAAAAATTTACTTATTTTATTAGTGTTATATATATGTACGTACTGTTTGCCGCGCTGGGTCTCCGTTGCAGCGCGGGCTCCTCTCTAGTTGCAGCGAGCAGGGGCTCCTCTCCGGGTGCAGGGCGCGGACTTCCCACCGCCACGGCTTCTCACGTCTCAGAGCAGCTCGGACTCTAGGCGTGGGGTCTTCAGTGGTTGTGGCCCCCCCACCCGGGCTCTAGAGCACAAGCTCAGTGGTTGTGAGGAGCTAGCGTAGAACACGTTCCTCCACAGCAAGTGGAGTCTTCTCGGACCAGGGATCAAACCCGTGTCTCCCAGCCTGGCAGGTGGATTCTTCACCCCTGAGCTCCGGGGGAGGCCGCCTCGGTCTGTTCTTGACGGACACCAGGGTGTTGCCCAGACAGGGCTGTTCTGTGGGCATCCTGAGCCGGACGCCTCCGAGCGCAGCGGTGTTCAGGCACCTGCCTGGCGCTGGTCACCGTTCGGGGCCTCAGTCGTTGCCTCCGTGCTTGAGGACGGCTGGCCTCCTTTGTCTCCCGCCCCCCGTTCCCTCCTGCACCTGCCCCGGCCCCAGCGTCTGTCCCGACACCCCGCTCTGCCCACACCTCGCCCAGCCCACAGTGAGCTGGCAGGCTGGGCGCCCGATGCCTGTTCTAGACTCTGGTTCCTCCAACCTTGGACTTGACGTCATCTGCGTCCTCCTGCAGGACTGGGGTCCCGGGGGTGCCGGGGTCTGAACCGGGACCTCTGAGCACTGCTGCTGGGTAACCGGGAGGCTCAGACAGGAAAGGGAACACTCGTCTTCCTCCTTTATGGAGTCAGGCTCTCTCTCTGGAAAGAGAGATCGAACCGGGGTCTCCTGCGCTGCAGGCAGATTCTTTACCATCTGAACCACCAGGGAGAGAGCGGTAGTGATCAGATAACAGCGGGACTGGGGTGTTTCTGGCTGTGCTGGTCTAGTGGGATTCTTGCAGGGGACAGGCCCGGGTGATGCGGACGTCACCAGGGAAGGCGGGGATGAACAGCATGGTCACATGCTGAGGATGGTTAAATATTGAGGGTGGGGTTTTTTTTTTCTTAAATATTTACCCTTTATTTATCCAGCTGCGTCAGGTCTTAGTTGCGGCACGTAAGATCTTTCATTGCAGGGCTCGGACTTTGTGTTGTGGCCCTTGGGGATCTTAGTTCTCTGACCAGGGATTGAACCCACCACCCCCCGAACTGCAGGGCAGACTCTTAACCAGTGGATCACCAGGGAAGTCTGTAGGGCAGAGGATTTTTGCTTAACTGACTTAGCAGGAAACCGATCTTGCTCTTGCTGAAACCGATCTCTTGGGGACAAGGCCTGCAGGCACACCTCAGAGGTGCTGCAGTGAAGCAGGTCACATGAAGTTTCTGGTTTCCCAGTGCCCGTGAAGGGGACGTTGACACTGTACTGAGGTCAGAGTGTGTGATAGTGTCACACCTAAAAAAAGCAGTGTAAATGCCTTAATAAAAAAAAAAAAGACTTCATTACTAAGGAGTGCCAACCAGCATCTGACAGCGCAGGGTTGCCCCAAACCTTCAGCTTGTGAAAACGCAGATTGCAGAGCACAGAAAAGTGAGGGCTTGTCTGTAGCTGGGAAACAGGTCAGAGGAGCCTGCAGACTCAGGTCCCCCAGCCCCGCTGCCCCTCCTGGGACCTGGGGTGACTCAGAGCCGTCATCAGTCCCCGGGACATCCCGGAGGGGCGGGAGGGGGTCTGTGACTCAGGCTGGGGGCGGCCAGGCTTGTTTACAGTCTGGATCCTCAGCAGGAGGAGGAAGGAAGGCGGTCAGGGGAGGCTGGTCATGCTGACGACAGCCCGGGACCCCAGCCAGGGCGCCTCCCCGCCCCCCCCGTGGACACGTTTCTCTGGGGGGGGCACCTTGGGGAGGCTGTTGGTGACTCCCAGGCCCAGCCTGCCTAAACTGGGGCTTTCCCAGCAATTGCAGGTGCTCTCCCAGCTGGGCCGTGTGCGAGGGGCGTGTGGCCCTGCAGGTCCTGCTGTGGGGGCCCCCACCCCGAGTCCTCTCCCCCTTCCTTGTCCAAAGTCTCTGCCGCCGTAGGGAGTGGTGCAGAGCGGCCCAGGCCCTCCTTGCTCTACTTGTGGTCCTGTTTGGGACCCCGCATCTTTTTTTCATTGACCGACATCCACCGCATCCCTTTCAAGTAGAGAAGTCAGTGAAAAGGGAAAGCGTTAGTCACTCAGTTGTGTCCGGCTCTTTGTGACCCCGTGGACTGTAGCCCGCCAGGCTCCTCTGTCCATGGGATTCTCCAGGCAAGAATGCTGGAGTGGGTTGCCGTGCTTTCCTCCAGGGGGTCTTCCCGACCCAGGGATCGAATCCTCCTATGTCTCCTGCATTGCCGGCAGATTGTTTACTGTCTGAGTCCCCAGGAAGATAAGCCAGTGCTCTTAGTAATTTACAGTTTTACGACCATTAACAACAATCGCGTTTGAGAATGTTTCCGTCCCCTCAAAGCGGTTTCTCTGTTCCCACCCCCAGGCCCAGGCTGATCCGCTTTTTGTGTACGGATGTGCTCCGTCTAAAGAACCCACCTGCAGTGCAGGAGATGCAGGTTTGATCCCTGGGTTGGGAAGATCCCCTGGAGAAGGGCATGGCAGCCCACTCCAGTACGCTTGTCTGGAGAATCCCATGGACAGAGGCGCCCGGCGGGACACAGTCCACGGGGTCGCAGAGAGTCAGCCACGACGCACTGGGTCGACAGTTGCTCACCCTGCGTGTTTTGTGTAAACAGCCTCGCGCTCTGTGACGCAGTTTCTGCGACTGGCTTCCCCCACTTGGCAAAGCGTTTCTGAGGGTCACCCGCGTCGTGGTGCGCTCACTGCATTCCCTTTTTTGGCTGGACCGTGTCTCACCTGTGTGCACACACACCACGTTTTCCTTATCTATCTGTTCTCTGGCGGGTGGACACCTGGGTTGCTTCCAGTTCGCGCCGTGCGAACCTGTCACGGTCGGCGTGTTCACAGACGCTTCCCTCCTTCCTGTGTGGAGAGCCGTGGGGGGGATCGCTGGGTCAGGCAGCCACGGTCGGCTCTGTGAGCTGCTGGCCTGCTCTTCCCAAGAGGCTGCAGTAGTTCACGTCCCCGTGGAGGTGCGCGAGGGGGCCTGTTTCTCAGCGTCCTCGACAAGCCCCTGGTACTGTTTGTTTCCTATTTACTGGGGTGCTTCGGGTCCTCGCTGTGGCACTCGGGGTCCCCGCCACATCATGCAGGCTCTTCCGTCACCGCGCGTGCACTCCCGAGGCTTGCCTTGAAGGCTTAGTTCCCCGAACCAGGGCTCGAACCCGCGTCCCCTGCCTCACCTGGCAGATTCTCAACCACGGGACCGCCGCGGGAGGTCCCCTCTCTTGTCTTTTTGATCAGAGCTGTCCTCCGGCCTTGGGTGGGTTGGGGCCGGGGGAGGGCAGGAAGGAGTTAGGGACACAGAGGTCAGAGCTCCAGGAATGCACTAGTGAGACGAGAGACTGGAGGGCAGCGTCCCCTCCCGGGGGGGCGGGGGTGTCTCTGGTCCCCTCTCGGGACCACTCCAGGGAGCAGGTCACAGCACGAGACACGCGGGGCTCAGTCTGGAGGGCCGGGGAGGTCCCACTGGCCCGTCCTGGGCACTGACCGCTTCCCGGAGGAAACCGCAGTCTCCAAGGAGTCGGGTGAGGAGGGAGCCACCTGCCCTGTATTGGTCCTGCCGCCACCTGGGCTGGGGTGGACAAGAGGATGGTCTGATTGTGTCCGTCAGGCCGCCCATCCCTGACCGCCAGGCCGCCCCTGCCTTCCAGGCAGAGCTCGGGGCAACCGTCCACCAGGCCTGCCATCCCCCCTTGTTCCCTGGGGGTGCCCTGTGCCCAGCCCTGGGGGAGGCGAATGGAGGCGCCCCGCCCACCCAGCCCCATCATGGCTTTCCCAAAGGCGCTCGCTCTTTCCTGGTCCTCCCCCCACCCCCGAGTGCTCCATTCCCAGCCCGTCCGGCTTGTTTACTCCTCTGTGCTGTGAATAGCCCAGGCGGAGCGCCAGCCTCCAGCAGTGTTTGTGGACGGAGCCCGGCCAAGGCCTTGCCTCCGGCGCACCCCCCCTCGCGTGGCTTCCGCCCGCTCTGTTTTTTGGAGCCGGGCCAGCCTGTGGACGGTCTCCCCCCACCCCCGGGGCTGGAGGGCAGGCAGGTGGGGGTGGGTGGTGGGCAGCCCTGAGCCCCCCCGGTCCCTGGGCCGGGCGGCCGGTTCCAGGGGTTGCGGGGTGTTCTCCCACCCGAGTCCGGCCCTGGCAGGGATGGATGGGATCTCGGCTGTGGCTCTCACAGGACCTGGAAGTGGGGGGCAGGTCCAGCCATGTGGCGGCCTGGCCGGGCAGACACGGGTTACTCAGCGTCTCCAAACTGCCCGGCAGGAAACCGGCCACTTGCGAAGGAAGCTTGGCTTTTCTGGGCTCTGGAGGGAAAGTGTGACGCATCGGGGTTCCCGTAACTGACGGGCCGCTGGTGGGGGTCTTTTTCCCACACAAACAAAACGACGGGGCAAGCCTCCAGAGGCGGGGCTTCCTGAGAAGCCGGGTCAAAAGGCGGTGGGGCCCGAGCCCGGCACACTCCCGCCCGATGCTGCTGCCCGGCCACTGTCCCGTCCACCGCGCGGCTGCCCCGCCGCCAGCCCCTCGGGCAGCAGGGCCGAGGATGCGGGAGACGCCGGGCACGGCCGCCCTGCAGATCCTCCTGCGGCACCTCCACCCTGGCCTGGCGGGCCGCCGCCGGGCGGCCTCGGGGGAGGAGCACATGTGTGCTTGCAGCACCGCCCTGTGGACCCACTTCCGGAGCCTCGTGCACAAGGGCAAGGTGGGCCTGCGGGGGGCCGGGGTCCCTGGGGCAGGCAGGAGCCGGGCTCTGTCCCCAACCCTGTCCCCCTGCTGGCTGTGCTGGTCTCAGGTCTGGAAGGGGAGGGATGGGGAGAAAGGCCCAGGGGTTACCAGCCTCTGGAGGGAACCAGAAAGGCTCTCTTTCTGCTGCTCTATCTCCCCTTTTAAAGCTGCTCGTGGGGGACTCCCCTGGTTGTCCAGTGGTTCGGATGCCACGCTTCCACTGCAGAGGGCAAGGCTTCGATCCTAAGCAAGGAACTAAGATGCAAACGCTACACAGCGTGGCTAGAGAAGTTTTTTGTTTTTAATTAAAATAATGAAACTGCCATCAATGGCGGGACCCTGTCCCTTTCCTTGGGAGCTGGGGGCACTGAGCCCTTGCTTCCTGGGCGGTCAGGACACGGGAGCCTCCTCGCTCCCGCTACACCTGGCCTGGTCGGAAGCCGGGAGCTCCACTGGCCCCGGAGCTGCGAGGGCCCTGTGTCCCCCCTGACCCCGCCCACAGGCGCCCCCAAGGAGGTGTGACCGCAGCTGGGCGCCAGGAAGCCCCACAGGGCAGTGGTCTGTGCTGGCTCTCTGCTTGCACACCTGCCCCTCAGGCCGGGGTCCCCACCGCCCCGGAGTGTGGCCCGAGAACCTCCCAGGACGGGGAGGCCCCGCCGTGGGTGGGCCTGGCCCGGATTAGAGACCCCGCCTGCACAGGCCCCCACGCCAGAGGGGCGCGCTAAGGGTCCCAGCTCTTAGATGGCACGTCCCCCCACCCCCAGAAGATGCTGTTGAAATCAGGCTTCCCAAAGTGCCGCCTACACAACTGGTCAGCCTCCTCCGAGCTGCGTGAAGCCCCCTGTGATGCTGTGGGTTGGGAGAGCAGGACAGCTCCCAGCCCCCAGGGCTGCCAGGGCGGGCGTGAGCGCCACTGGGAAGGGAGGGTTCCCTGGGGAGCAGGGCGCAGGGCCTGAGTGCTTGCTGACTCGCCCCCCAGCTGAGCCTGGGATGCAGGCAGCGAGGGTCTGGGGGCGGGAGGGCTCTGAGGCTCCAGGACTTTTCTAGCGGGTCCTCCGTTTGGACCCCGCTTGGCCTCTGGAAAGAGGTACCAGCCGAGGCCTGCTGCTGATTCCGCTCGGACGTGGAGGAGTTACGGGCTTGGGCTTGCTGCCTGGCCCGGCCTCCGCTCGGAAGCCCCCAGGTAACCATGACCCCTTGCTTTCAGCTGGACCCCCAGACCCTGCAGGACAGAGACTGGCAGCGGACGGTCATCGCCATGAATGGGGTGCGTGCCACCCAGCGCCGTGCTGGCTTCTGCTCCCTGCAGAGGGTCGGGGTGGTTCCAGTCCCTGCTGAGACCCTTGGGGCTGGAGGAGGCAGAGGCCCCGCAGGGCGGGACCGCAGCGAGCGGGCCCAAGTCCACGTGGGCCAGAGACTGACCTGTGGCTGGAGTGCGGGTCACCCACCAGGCACTGGGCGTCCATCCTCAAAGCAGGGTCCAGGGTCTTCATGGGGATGGAGGGGGCCTGGACCCTGGGGTCTGCCCATAGAGACTGAGACCCCTGATTAGACTTCAGTGCCCCGTAAGAATTGAGACCCTAAGAAAAAGCACTGCCACTCACCAGAAAAGCTCTGGGCATGTAGGGCATACCTGAGGAGGGCGTGGCAGCCTCCTGTATCCTTGCCTGGAGAACCCCGTGGACAGAGGAGCCTGGCGGGCTGCAGTCCCTGGGGTCACACAAAGTCAGACAGGACTGAAGTGGGTTAGCATGTAGGACAGCGTGCTGACATTTGATAGGTGATTCGTGGCTTTTTGTTACATTATTCTCTACACATTTTCTCTAGTGGCCTGCTTTCTTTAGGTTTTTATCTTGTATTGGGATATAGCCAGTTGACAATGTTGTGATAGTTGCAGGTGAGCGTGGAAGGGACTCAGCCACACATATACAGACGGTATGTCCAGTTCAGTTCAGTTGCTCAGTCTTGTGTCTGACTCTTTGCGACTCCATGGACCGCAGCACACCAGGCCTCCCTGTCCATCACCAACTCCTGGAGTTTGATCAAACTCATGTCCATTGAGTTGGTGGATACATATATGGATACATAGATCCATTCTCCACCAAACTGCCCTCCCATGCAGGCTGCCACGCAACATGGAGTCTAGCGGTTCTTTTTAATCAGGATTAAATGAGAAACAGAAGCCACGGGGTCGTGGGGGGAGGTTGTGCAGAAGCGGGTCCTCAGACGGCCCTGGCTGTTCTCAGCTGCCGCCGAGTTGGACCAGAGCCCGCCCCCGTCCTGGACCTTAGCCTGAGATCGTGGGGCCCTGGGAGCAGGCTCTTAGGACCAGGAGGCTGAGAGGGTCATGCCCCCTGCCCTTCCCTGCAGATTGAAGTGAAGCTATCAATCAAGTTCACCAGCAGGGAGTTCAGCTTGAAGAGGATGCCTTCCCGAAAACAGACGGGCGTCTTCGGAGTCAAGATCGCCGTGGTCACCAAGTGAGTGGCGGGGGGCAGGGGCTCCTGTCTCTCATCCCCGAGGGCGGAGGGCGCCCTCCCTGGGTGTCTCTGCAGGACGGAGCCCATGTGGGCATGGTCAATGCGCGGGGACTGCTTGCAGGCCCCCAGCACACACTCCGTGCGTGGCTGCCTCCCATGCTGACCACGGACGACTCCCCAGCAGCTCAGGGGTGTCCCGCCCTCTGCCCGTTCCACCTCCGGAGCCGGGCTCGCGAGGGCTCCCTTCCCTCGCTTGGAATTTGTCAGGATCCGAGCTCCTGTCCTGCCCCCCACACCCCACAACGCCCCCGTCATGGTCAGTCTCAGGAGTCGCTTGTGTGCAGGTTCAGGGCGGGCCTGAGGACACAGCCGCTTCCTCCAGAGTCCACTTTCCCCGGTTTGGAGCCTGGCCCGGCCCTGACCTCACTGGTGGTCAGGCGGGACACCTGGCTACAGCCTGGCCCCCGGCTACACCCCAGCCGTCCCCCCAGCTCCTCTGGGCGGCTCTGGGCGGGAGCAGGGACCCCCAAATGAGCACCACTCGTGAGAGGGGCTGGGAACAGGGCTCTGCTAGGTCCCGGATCCAGTCGCTAAACTAGACTGAACCGACCCTCCAGAGTTCTTACTCTGAAGAGTTGAAAAGTTTTACTCTGGCGTCCTGCCTGCAGGGGCTGGAACTGTTCCCTGTTAGGACGTGGAAGAGAGAAAGGTAGCGTCACAGGATTCCGAGCTGAGAAGGGGGGCCAGGCGGCCCTGTGGACTTGATCCTCTGGCCCCGCTGCCTGCCGGGTGCTGGGCTCCCCTCTGCCTGAGGCCTGGAGGGGTCCCCTTTCTCCCACCCAACTCGGAGACCAGATCGCTTCCCAGGACCCTTGCAGTCAGTCTCCCGTCAACCCAGGGCCCTGGGAGCTCCAGACTGACCTCGCCGACCTCCTGCCCCCGCCCCCGGGGTGGGTGTGCTCGGAGTGTGTCTGGCCCACCTGGACTGTTGGAAAGACCCTGATGAGATGGAGGCAGTGATGATCGTGAGACCGCAGAGTCCAGGGGGACACAGGGAAGGGTCTGGTGCTCTGGTGCCCAGAGGCGAGGGGGTGGTGCCACGGAGGGGGCGGGGTTGCCGACGCTGAGGCACCGCCCCCTCCCCCCCAACCCCTGCAGGAGGGAGCGGTCCAAGGTGCCATACATCGTGCGCCAGTGCGTCGAGGAGATCGAGCGCCGGGGCATGGAGGAGGTGGGCATCTACCGCGTGTCCGGCGTGGCCACGGACATCCAGGCCCTGAAGGCGGCCTTTGACGTCAGTGAGTGTCTCAGCAGTCGGGCCGGAGGGAGGGGTGGGTGCGGTGCATGCGCCACTGGGGAGGGAGGCTCGCAGAAGGCGGTTCCTAGCCCGTGCTGACCACGCACGCGTGGCACTTGCCAAGTTGGACCAGGGGCTTCCGTGGGGCACCCCCGGCTCTACCCCTTGGGGGCTCAGCTTGCCGCCCCCCCGGGGGTGGGTGTGAGAGAGGTGCCGACCAAGCCCAGGGGTCAGTGAGTCTGGTGCCAAGAGGCTGATGGAACCGCCCCGATTGCCAGATATGGCTGGGAGACCCCAGGGCTGTCTAAGAGCCTTGTCTCCTTCCGCCGCGGGGGGCCTGGAGCCCTGGCCGGGGTGGCGCGGGGCAGGGGGACACCGCCACTGTAGTGAAGCTGCCGTCAGGTGACCCACACGGCCCAGCTGGGGCTCAGAGGGTGGAGCTGACTCGGGTCCATGGAGGGCTCCGCTCCACTTCCACGCCCTTCCCCAGACAACAAGGATGTGTCGGTGATGATGAGCGAGATGGACGTGAACGCCATCGCTGGGACTCTGAAGCTCTACTTCCGCGAGCTGCCGGAGCCCCTCTTCACCGACGAGTTCTACCCCAACTTCGCCGAGGGCATCGGTGAGCACGGGGCGTCTTCCGTCCCCATTCCTGTCAGCCTTTGATTGGAGGGAAACCCAAGTTTCAGCACAAACTCTGCGAGTGGCGGGGGACCGGGAACCTAGCCGTCCCGGGAGGCCTCCACGGGCTGACTGCTGTGCCTGTCCCTCGAGGTCGCCGAGATGGGGGGGCTGCCGCTGTGGACTGCAGCTGCCAGTGTGGGGTTCGGAGGCTGCTGTCCTCCTCAGTGGCCCCAGACCCTGGCCCATCAGTCAGGGCTTTCGAGTACACCCTGACCCTGGGCCCACCCAGAGCGTGGGGGGCGCTGGCACTCGGGGCAGCTGCAGCCTCCGCACCCAAACCCCGCCAGGGCCGCTCAGCTGAGGACCTGCCCCCACCCACTGCCACCCAGGTGCAAAGGCTCGTGTGATGGGGGGTCTGTGGCCTCCACTTCCCCTGAGCAGGTGGGAAGGGCCGAGGGGGCCAGGAGGGCAGCTGTGCTTGGCACCCCCACCGCTGGCCATGTGGTGCCCCGACCCCTCTGAGGGTCAGATAAGGCGTCCAGGGTGGCCAGGCTCCCACCCCAGGGCCCTCACTGGGGGCCAGTGTAGGAGGCAGGACCGTGACTGGCCCGGGTCCTGGGGGCGCCTTCCAGCCCCGGGTGGTCACTATGAGAAGTAAACCCCCCGCCCCCGCAGCGCTCTCAGACCCCGTGGCGAAGGAGAGCTGCATGCTCAACCTGCTGCTGTCGCTCCCGGAGGCCAACCTGCTCACCTTCCTCTTCCTCCTGGATCACCTGAAAAGGTAGCCCCCTCCTCTGGGGTGCTTAGGGCCCGGTGGGTCCCCTGCTCCCGTCAGACTCCCCGGCTCCCGCGGCCTTCCCTCTGTAGTGCTCCACCCATCTGTGGGTCCCCCTGCGCCCTGGCCAGCCATGGGCTCGGGTGTCCCTGCGGGCCTCCAGCCTTCTGCTTTCCGACCGGGAAGAGCCGGGGTGGGTCAGCTGGGGAGCCCTCCCACTCGCCCTCCCGGGGTGGCCTGGGTCCCCACCCACCTCCATGCCCCCATCCCCGAGGCGGCGTCACGGCAGTTTCCCCACCACCCCCCCGACAGGGTGGCGGAAAAGGAGACGGTGAATAAAATGTCCCTGCACAACCTCGCCACGGTGTTTGGCCCCACGCTGCTCCGGCCCTCGGAGAAGGAGAACAAGCCGCCCGCCAACCCCAGCCAGGCCATCTCCATGACCGACAGCTGGTCCCTGGAGGTCATGTCCCAGGTATGGTGGGCTCGCCTACCTGGCCCGCACCTGTGGCCGCTGCCTGCGTCCCGCACCCCTGCGTCCTGCCAGGGGTTCCCACTGAGCCGTCAGGGGAGGTGGCTGAGGTCTGGGGACGGGGCCGCGAGGCGGGCCGCGGCTCCGCCCTCTGCTCTCGGCTGGGGATCCCAGGACCGGTCTGGGGGGCGGGGGGCCCCAGGCCTCTGCTGCGAGGTCCTCGTTGTCCCCAGCAGGGCCCTGGGCTCTGCCGGGGTCGGGGGGGGACCTCCCCTTCTCTGAGCCGCCATCCCCTCCCGCTCCGCCCGGCAGGTCCAGGTGCTGCTCTACTTCCTGCAGCTGGAGGCCATCCCTGCCCCGGACAGCAGGAGGCAGAGCGTCCTCTTCTCCACCGAAGTCTAGAGGCCCCGGCCCGCCCCGAGAGAGCAGAGGACGGCCCGGGGCCCTGCCAGGGACACGGGCCATCCAGCCACAGAGCTGGGGCTGAGCCTCCTGGAGGAATCACAGGGCCGCCCTCCCCGGGCCCACGCTGCTGCCAAGAGACAGCGACCTCTGGCAGAAGCGGCCGGGCAGTCCCGGCGCCCAGCCCTCGCGGGCCCTGGGCTGGCCTCAAGCTGTGTCCACGCCGCCACCAGAGGGCGCCCCGAGCCAGCGCATCGCCCGTCGTGGGCCTGGGTGGGGCCAGGCGAAGGGAGTGGTTTTTGCGGAATGTAACTTAAGAGAGTTGAAAGATTTCCACTGGATCACCTGTCGAGATGGCGCATCTCCGGGGAGGAGGGAGCAGGCAGGAGCGGACTCTCTGACTCTTGAGTCGTCGTCCTGAATAAACACCACCGCCGCTTCGTGCCCAGGGGGGGGGCCAGGCCCCGTCCGTGCGGGTGGGAGCGTGTCGATTTCCCAGATCAGAACGCTCGAGGCCTGCTTTGCAACCAGGCTGGAGGAGCCGAGTCTACACCGAATGGCGCCTGACCCCGTTCACCTCCTGCTTCTGTCTCTCTCTGCAGCAGACATGGCCTTCCTCCTGCTTTGTCTCCGCCCATCTCCGGCGCATCGAGTGGGCAGCCGCCCGCCGACCTGTGTCACGTTCTCGGGCCTGGACACCAGGGGCGGGGGGGCCCGGGGCTGCGCACCTTACCGCGGCTCGCCGGGGCAGGGCGAACCCGCCCACCGTTCAGACGCACGCTCGCCTCGTCGGCTCGGAAGGCCGGCCTCCTCCAACCCGTCCCCCTGCCCTCCCGTCCGCTTGATCACACCCTGCCCTCCCCCGACCCCCGACACCCAGACCGGCTGCGCCCCCTCGCTGCACGCTCCCCACAGACTCTTGTAAAGGTTTTCTTCTCTTGGTGGCGGCGGCAGCTTGCCGACAGCTTGTTTTAAACTTTGATCTGAATAGCCTTTTGATACTTGAATATTTTTAAGTTTTATACATAGTCTCTAATTTTTTTTGTTTCCTAACAAGATTCAGACACCCACTAAGATGTTAGAATGTACTCTGTGGACAAGCGGTGTCCACCGCGGCATCTTGTCTTCCTCCACGCGCCAGCCCTCTTTCCATCGGGAGCTGCTCCGGAAGTCTCCTGGGCACCCGGAGTTGGGGGGGAGGTTGGGAACAGGCCGAGGGTGGGGGCGCCCACCCCGGAGCAGCTGGAGGGACCGACCCCCCCTGCGCACACACTCCGTGCCCCTGGGCTGAAGCCAGGACGTGGCTGGTTACCCTGCCGACCATCTGACTTAGAGGAGACAGAACCGGGGACACCTCTAGGTATTTTGAAGACGCACATCTGTGAAGAATCGTATCGCTTCTTTCTAAGAAGGGGCAGGGGCAAGGAGAAAAGAAACAGGCCAAGCTTCCAGGCTGGACTTGTGGGAAGAGAGGATGTCGCTGAACCAGAGGAGGGAAGTCGAGGCACGACTCAGGAAAAGGCGTTCGCCTGTCACGCGATTAGACCAGTCTCGCGGGGCACTGCTCGGGCCCTGTCCCGTGTCCCCAGCGGGGCGGGAGGCTCTCCCCCGTCGTGTCGACGGGCAGGAGCTCCAGGCACGTGGGGGTCATGTGCCCCACCCTCTCCTGTCTGCTCGCGGACCTGCTGACACGGGGGACAGAAAAAGAAGCCACTCGAAGGTCTTAGGTCCTCATACTGTATTTATTTAGTTGTACTTTGGTCTCGTGGGGAGAGCTGTGGTCCCCCTGGGGGATGAGGGTGTAGCAGATGGCGGGGGGCAGGGGTGTCCTCTGTCTCCGAATGTTCTCTGGACTTGGTGGGTCTCCTGGCCTCCGGCCCCGGAACTTTTCTAGCCTGGCTTCCCATCCCGTCCAGCCCTGGGGGGAATGTGCTCTGCCTGGAAAGCCCTGGCCCGGTTTCTGTTTCCTGGAGCCTTCATGATCTGCGTCCACCGTGATGAAACTGGAAAGCTGTCTCTCAGCGTCTGTGCCAATCCTGGTTCCCGGCCGCACCTCCTTCCCCTCTGCGAGCTCTTTCTTGGCGTAGGATGCGCGCAGCCAAGTGGCGGGATGATTGCTCTTTCTTCCCACCGTGGCGGCAGTTGCTCTGGGTCCCCAGGCATCCCCGTTGCTTGTCTGACACTCTGGCACTGACAGGCGGTGAAGCTGGCGGGTAGGTGACCAGCTGGGGGCCAGACGTGACCTTCCTCGAGGCTCAGCAGCCGGATGCTGCCTCGCCGCCCGGGGCCCTGCATCTGGAGCCCGAGCCTGGCCGCACGCTGGGGTTGGCGGTGGGTCTCTGGGCAGCCATGTGTCTGAGTTCCAGCTCAGCCGTCTCTCCTGCCGCGGTGTGGGGGAAAGACTGCTGACACTTTCATTAAAGTTCCTTGAGACGACTTGCGTCCATGCTGGTGGTGCCATAGAAACGTCGTGACCAGGGGCTCCGGGAGGGCCCCTAATGGGGCCGATGGGTCAGGGCTGGGGGTGGGCACTGGGGCTGGAAGCAGCAGCAGGTGGAATGGACAGGCGGGCATCCAGGAGGCCTCCCCGAGGAGGTGGGCACTGCTGGGGACAGGCCCAGCCTGGGGCATCCACTTGCCCACAGGCCGCCTCTCCGCCAAGTGCGGGGCTGTTGGGTTTGGGACGAACAGCTGCAGGGATATGGGCATGGCCCGGTGCGGGGGGCCAGCCACGCCCAGCCCAGCCCTGCACGAGCCCCTTGGCCTCCGTGGTCTCCACCGGTGCTCGCGAGCCCAGCCTTTGGGTTGCCGGGCACGGTACCCCTGAGCTGCCACCAGCCTTGCCTTCAGAAAAAGCCACCCAGTGTCCAGGGAAGCCGTTCCCCCGTGGAGATGGGCACGCCAGGTGCGGACTCACGGGGCCACAGCCACGGGGACCTGCCTTGCCATCCTCGACGTCTGCCAGCATCACCCCGAGGTCCCTCCAGGGCGCCTTCCTTGAGGTGGGAGGGTTGGCATTTGTAGAGCTGCATGGACGCCGGGCTGCTGCCCTCCTGATGCCTGCTGACGAGGAAAAGGCTTCCGCAGGCCCCCCTCCTCGGATCTGGCCCCCGAAAGGCAGTTCTGTATGTGTGCGCGCACGCTCAGTTATGTCTGACTCAGACTCCCTGGACTGTCGGCCGCCAGGCCCGGCCCGTCTGTCCGTGAGATTCTCCAGGCAAGAATACTGGAGTGGTTTGCCATTCCCTCCTCCAGGGGAGTCTTCCCGAAAGTCTAGTTACATCTCTCTATCCCTGCCTTCTGGGTCCTATTCGAAAACCTTTAAATAAAAAGAAAAGCTCCAACGCATCTCTCTCATGAGGAATTGACTTGGGGACAAGCGGACAGTTCCCCATTGTTGCTGACAGCAGGGGCTTCGTCCAGCCCGGCCCAGGCCAGTGGCATGGCCAGGGAGCGGGACCGTTCGCGGCTGTGGGGTCTGAGGCCTTAGACCCCAAAGACCCTCGGAGTCAATCCCCTTGCTTGGTAGGTGGGTAAACGAAGTTGCATGGAGGGCGCCCCCCGCCCCCCCCCCCCGCCGCCGCCATCTCAGCTGTCTGAAGAGCAGAGACAGGCTGGGGGTGCGGGGCTGCCTGCCTCTCCGCTGGGCTCGAGCCGAGGCCTGGCGTCACGCACGCCCCCCAGTCGCAGGATTTTGTGTAAAGACCTCAGAAGAGCCTGCATACCCCCCACCACCCACCCCCCAAAAAAAGAAGGCCCCAGTGGCCTTAAAAGGAATTATTTCCATGATGGAGAGAATGATGGGCTGTTCTCAACAGCTCTGAACAGATAAACAGAAAAAGCGAGGGGGTGACAGACAGCGGCTCTTGAGGAGGCCCAGACGGCCTCCCGGAGCAGCCGCCCTGGGTCAGCGCACAGGCTGGGGGCCGCGGGTCACCCCGGGGCGAGGGAGGGCACTGTCAGACCTGGCGGGGGGGACCTTGTATCACCCTGCTCTCCCGGGGTGGTGGGGAGAACTGCGCAGAGCGCGACCGCAGGCAGCTACGGGAATGGTCCCGTGGAAGATGGGGCCCTGCTGCATCTGAGACGCGCCCAGGCTGGGAAGGGAGGCTGCTGCTGGGGGTTGCTGCTTGGGGGGCGGGGGTCAAGGCTGCTCGTCCGCGTGTCCCCGTGTCACAGGCCACGTGTCCTGGGACAGACCTTCCTGGGGCCTCTCGGGCCCGTTCAGCCAGATCACTGAGGGCTCGGTCTGAACATCAGCTCTCTTCCGTTCTCCTCCTGTGGTGGACCTGGCCAGAAACTCTCCCTTTGGATTTTCAGGTTTCTTGGTGGAGGGGAGCCGGGCTGCTGGGATAAGCTCTGCCTACGTGCTAACTCCCTTCAGTCATGTCTGACCCTGCGACCCCGTGGACTTGCAGCCCGCCAGGCTCCTCTGTCCACGGGGATTCTCCAAGCAAGGTTGCTGGAGTGGGTTGCCACGTCCTCATCCAGGGCCTCTTCCCAGCCCAGGGATCGAACTCACGTCTCTTGCATCTCCTGCATTGGCAGGTGGATTCTTTCACCAGGAGCGCCAGCTGAGAAACACAGCTGCCGAGAAGGGTTGGTTCAAATGGGATTCTGGCCAAGGAAGGGGCCTGAGAGGCGAGGTCTACACGGGAGCAGTCCCACCCCCATCCCGGGGGCGGGCGGGCCAAGGCGCTGCCGGGATGGTGGCCGGCCCAGACCTGGGGCCTCCCCGGGGCTGGAGGGTGTGAGGCTGTGATGCCTGACTTTTGTCTGCGTTCCCCCCGCCCCCCTTAAGACAATGCACCCCTGAGGGGCACGCCCCAGGCAGGGTGCTTTCTCACGGTGATGGTGACGGCCAGGAAGAGACTCCAGGGCTCGTGGGTGGTGGGCGGCGGCCACCTGGTGTAACCCTGCCTCTGACCCCCGCCAACCCCGCACCCCGGGAGATCCAGACTCCACGCTCCATGTGGTTATAGACAGGGCTGTGTCCCTGCTTCAGGTGCTGAAGCCTAAGCCCCAGCAGAGATCAGGCGTGAAGCCCTGACTCCACGGCCCGATGGCTTCATAAGAAGAGGGCGAGAGACGGTTGCCTGGCGGTCGCGTGGCTGGGCCTCGGCGCCTTCAGGGCCGAGGGCCCGGGTTCCGTCCTTGGTTGGTGAACTAAGACCCCATAAGCCATGAGGCATGGCTGTGGGGGTGAAAAAAGAGAGTGAGAGACCAGAGCTGTGTCTCCGGTGCTCCCGGAGGAAAGGCCACGCGAGGACATGGAGAGAAGCCGCAAGCCAGGAAGAGACGCCGGGGGAGGAACCAACCCGGATGGCACTCTGACCGTGGGCTCCAGATCCGTGAGACATCCGTGCCGGCCGTGTGGGCCCCTGGCCCGCAGCCTTCACTGTCATGGCCGCCCGGGTCCACCGGACAGCGGCCTTTTGGCGGGTCCCCTGGCTGCGGACCCAAGCCTGGGACTGAGTCCTCCCCATGCCGCTCCTGGTTCATGGCCCTCTCGCAGAGCCCCCGGGTGGTTGAGTGACCATCCCGAGCACGGGGAGTGCTCACCCCCACCCCCCAGTCCGGGCCAGGCCAGTGAACTTCATGGCCAAGCCCCGCTGCTCACCCCGGCCGGGGGCTCTGGCCACCAGCCCCTCCTGCCCACAAACAGCCCCGAGAACGCAGAGGTCCCCTTCCCCACCTGGGCCCCCAGCTCGCTGGCCTTCTGGGCCTCTGTCCCCCCTCTGCAGAGGTGCCCTCCTCTGCTTGGCACCCCTGCCCCGGAAACCCTCCTAGCTCACTCTAATCCCCGAGAGCAGGGAGAACGGAGGCTCTCTCCACCCCCGAGACCTCCTAGCTGTGGCCCGTCCACCTCCTTCTCCAGCATGCTGGAGGCAGGGCTTCCTTCCCTTGCTGCCTCGCCCACTCCTCACCAGGCCCAGGCAAGCCTGCTTCTAACCCGCGCCCCTCGAGGCCAGGCCAACAGCCACTCCTGGCCCGATGTCTCTGACCCACTCCCGGCCCCTCTTGCTGCCACAGGCAGGCCTGCTGACCCAGTGTTAAACGAGCCTCCCAGGGCGGCTTATGCTTTCTCAACAGGCTGGTCCTTCCTCCGGGTCTTTCCAGAACTCCTCGGAACTGCCTTCAGGCCTTCCTGCAAACGCGGCATGTTTACACGGAGCCCTGCTTTGGGCTGCAAACGGGATGAGGGATGCACTCTTAGGCCCGCCCTCTTTACCCCTTTGCTTAACGTCTCCCTAGAGTGAAAGCTACCCTCACGGGAAGAATTTTGTGCAGGCTTCTCAGGAGGCTAGTTTGCAAGGGGGACCCTGGCGGCTGAGGGAGGGGCCCCAGGCCCACAGGCCAAGGCGTGGGCCACTCACACAGGTCCTTGGGCCTCACTCTCCTCACCCGTAAAGCGGGTTTTTTTTTTTTTTTGGCCGCGCGGTGGCTTATGGGATCTTAGTTCCCCAATCAGGAGTTGAACCCAGGCCCTCGGCAGTGAACGCACCCAGGCCCTCGGCAGTGAACGCACCCAGTCCTAACTACTGGACTGCCAGGGAGTTCCCTCCTCACCTGTAAAATCGGGATTTAATCAGACACTTTGGCACGGGAGAGGGCCACAGGCAGGTGGAGGAACATGAGTGGAGTCTCAGTCAGGGTCCTCGTGGAGGTGGAACCAGGAGGCTGGACCAGGGTGAGTGCTTTCTGTGGACAGGGACCCAGAGCTGAGAGACAGTCAGTTCAGTTCAGTTGCTCAGTCATGTCCGACTCTTTGCGACCCCATGGACCGCAGCATGCCAGGCCTCCCTGTCTATCACCATCTCCCGGAGTTTACTCAAACTCACGTCCATCACATCGGTGATGCCATCCAACCATCTCATCCTTTGCTGTCCCCTTCTCCTCCTGCCCTCAATCCCTCCCAGCTTCAGGGTCTTTTCCAATGAGTCGGTTCTTCGCATCAGGTGGCCAAAGTATTGGACTTTCAGCTTCAGCATCAGTCCTTCCAATGAATATTCAGGGCTGACTCCCTTTAGGATGGACTGGTTGGATCTCCTTGCAGTCCAAGAGACTCTCAAGAATCTTCTCCAACACCACAGTTCAAAAGCATCAATTCTTCGGCACTTAGCTTTCTTTATGGTCCAACTCTCACATCCATACATGACAACTGGAAAAACCATAGCTTTGACTAGATGAACCTTTGTTGGTAAAGTAATGTCTCTGCTTTTTAATATGCTGTCTAGGTTGGTCATAGCTTTTCTTCCAAAGAAGCAAGCAAGTGTCTTTTAATTTCATGGCTGCAGTCACCATCTGTAGTGATTTTGGAGCCCAGAAAAATAAAGTCTGACACTGTTTGCATTGTTTCCCCATCTATTTGCCATGAAGTGATGGGACCAGATGCCATGATCTTAGTTTTCTGAATGTTGAGCTTTAAGCCAACTTTTTCACTCTCCTCTTTCACCTTCATCAAGAGGCTCTTTAGTTCTTCTTCACTTTCTGCCATAAGGGTGGTGTCATCTGCATATCTGAGGTTATTGATATTTCTCCCGGCATTCTTGATTCCAGCTTGTGCTTCCTCCAGCCCAGCGTTTCTCATGATGTACTCTGCATATAAGTTAAATAAGCAGGGTGACAATATACGGCCTTGAGATGCTCCTTTCCCAATTTGGAATCAGTTTGTTGTTCCATGTCCAGTTCTAACTGTTGCTTCTTGACCTATATAGGTTTCTCAAGAGGCAGGTCAGATGGTCTGGTATTCCCATCTCTTTCAGAATTTTCCACAGTTTGTTTTGATCCACACAGTCAAAGGCTTTGGCATAGTCAGCAAAGCAAAAGTAGATGTTTTTCTGGAACTCTCTTGCTTTTTCGATGATCCAGCAGATGTTGGCAATTTGATCTCTAGTTTGTCTGCCTTTTCTAAATCCAGCTTCAACATCTGAAAGTTCTCGGTTCATGTGCTGTTGAAGCCTGACTTGGAGAATTTTGAGCATTATTTTGCTAGTGTGTGAGATGAGTGCAATTGTGCGACAGTCTGAGCATTCTTTGGCATTGCCTTTTTCTGGGATTGGAATGAAAACTGACCTTTTCCAGTCCTGTGGCCACTGCTGAGGTTTCCAGGTTTGCCGGCATAAAGGAAGCATTTCCGGAGCCCTGGTGTGTGCCAGGCCATGTCCTCGGGATGCTCACTCCAGGGCCGCAGCCATTACTGTTTACTAGCCGTGTGACCGCATGTGCAGAAAGGCACGGTGTGCAGGGGGTGCTTATTGAGGTGGGGACCTATTGTCTAGTTCTCCAACATCCGTGCCCGGTGTGGGAGTACTGGTATTCTTCAGAAAACAGCTGGAGGTGCAGAGAGGTTGAGAGCCACGCTCAAGGTCACCCAGCTATCCCAGCCAGAGTTTGGGCTCAAGTCTGGGGACCAGCAGAGCTGTTACATAGGCCCCCTCTGTGCGGCATCAGTCTCCCTGACTGTGAAGTAAGGGGCCTCTTTCTTCTTCTGGCTGCGCCGGGTCTCAGTGGGAGCAGATGGGATATCTTCACTGCCATGTGGAGGTCCTTCCGTTGTGGTGGCATGGGGGATCTCGTTCCCTGAGCAGGGACCAAACGCAGGCCCGTTGCGCTGGGAGCACGCAGTCTTACCCCCTGGACCACCAGGAAGTCCCTAAGAGGGTTTCATGACCTCTGAGCTCTGTGGGCCACGAGGAAGGGTGGCCACCTTGTCCTGAGCCGGTGTCCCTCGTGTCTCCTCTGGACTGCCCCCAGTCCCTCCCCGCCAGGCTTCAGAGTGTGGCCGCCTGGTACCTGAGTTCCTTCCACGGCCAACGCTGCAGCTGCGGAGACCAGGCAACACATCTCGGTCTGCAGACACCTCTTGGCTCCGCTGACAGCTGCATGTTTCCTGGGAGCGCCCCTGGCTCCTGGAGAGGCACGAGCGGAATCCCGGGCTTGCTGTCCTGGCGCGCGAGGAGCTGATGATCTGCTAAGTGCTGGGGACACCTGTTTTCTGATGAAAACTTGGCCTGTGGGCCCACCCTGTTTGGCTCCTCCAACTGTGGAGCAGACGGAGCAGCTGGGCCCGAGTAGGCTGGGGGGGTTGGGGGTGGGCGTCTGGGGGAGCCCAGTTGGTCAGCGGGAGACTAGAACTGGAGGCACAGAGCTTGAGGGGGGGGTCCAGGTTGCAGAGCGCCACCCGTCTCAGCAAAAACTGCAGGGCCGGCAGAGCCTGACCAGGCGGCAACGTCCGCCTCTGAGGCTGGTCATCACAGCACCCCAGATCCCGCCACTTGATGGTCGGGGGCGGTGGAGGCTGGGCCCTGGGAGGGGCTCCCATGGTGACAGATGTTCTGGACACCTCTTGCTCCTGGCCAGCAGCTGCCCAAATCGCCTGCTCTTTCTGCCCCCTCCACTCCTGATCAGCTGAGGGAGAGGAGGGAGCGAGGTGCAGTGAGGCCCAGCCACAGACTGGGGTGAAGTCTGGACAGGTCTGTGCACCCCACCCTCAGGCCTGTGACCTCTCCTCCGACCCCAGCACCCCACCAGGCCTCCCGGCCTCTCCAGGTCTCCAGACTCTGAGGGTCTCCCTCCCCATCCTGCACACGCCACAAGGCCAGTCTTCCTGAAGACGATCTCATCGCATGTCACTTCCTGGTCCCAAAGCTGCAGTGACTGGCTTCTGTCCACAATACAGAAGCCAAGTTCGAGGTCTAGTGGGGGAAGCACTTTCTGCCTCAAATGCCATCTCCTTCTGGAATCCTGCTGATGCCTCCAGCACACCTGAGCCCCATCTCACCCGACTTGGGACCAAGTTACATGGCTGCCTATTCAGAGAAGGCTGTTGGAGGCTGGGGACCTGGTCAAAGCCATCCTTCATGCCCACCCATCCCCTGCACAGGTGTGCAGACCTGGTTGCTACTCAGGAAATGTCAGCAGCTCTTTTTACTTTGAAATTTCAACGGCAGAAAATCTAGCTTTGTGGTTTTGGCTCATGAGAAGTAATTTGCTGTGTATCAGAAGGTTCATGGGAACTTGATTCCTAATGTTAAAAAGTAAAATCGTGACTCATATACAAATATAAAATAAACACATATCACAGAGTCTACTGAACTCATTCATTAAGTGAGGGAACCAGCAAGATGTTATCATCAGGTGAAAGGAGAACTCCAAGGTCAGACATATTTACAGAATAGAAATGTTGAAATGAACTTGGAGGCAAAACTGGTTTTTCCACTGTGGGGGAGGGTTGTCCCAGGACATGAATTATGTGCATTGCTATCAATCTTCTACTATATTGCAAAAGAACTCAAAGACAATATAAGGCCCAGGAAGTGAAAAAGTGAGAAAATGTTAGTGGCTCAGTCCTGCCTGACTCTTTGCAACCCCAAGGACTGTAGCTCTCCGGGCTCCTCTGTTCATGGAATTCTCCAGGCAAGAATATTGGATTTGGTAGCCATTCCCTTCTCCAGGGTTATCTTCCAGACTCAGGGATCAAACCCAGATCTCCTGCACTGCAGGCAGATTCTTTCCCACCTGAGCCACCAGGGAAGCCCATAAGGCCCAGAGCCCCCCAGAATTCAGAATCAGATAACCTAGAAGGGTATGTACCAAGGGTGCATATAGCTTTCCATTGGCGACACCAGGAATTTTTTTTTGCTTAACCCAGTTTTCATTCCACAAATAGCTCACAACTGGAGACAACCCAAATGTCCATCAATAGAATAGATAAACCACCATATGGTAAATTCATACAGTGTAGTGATATTCATTTTGCATGCCACAGATGCATTCAAGATGGATGCAGCTTGCAGACTTAACGGTGAATGAAAGAGGGTGACACAGAAGGATACTTGCTATAGGCTGAATAGTGCCCTCCGAGGATATCCAGTGCTTCCCTGGGATCTGTAAATGTTAGCCTATTTGGAAAGGTCTTTGAAGATGTGATAGATTAAGGATCATGAGATAGGGGGTTTATCCCGAACTATCTGGCTGGGCCCTAAACACCATCATGAGTGTCCTTACGTAAGAATCAGAGGGAGGCTTCACACAAATACAGCAAAGACCATCGACCGAGGCAGAGGTCGGAAAGAAGCAGTGAGAAGCAAAGGAGCATCAAGAAACGCAGGCAGCTGCAGACGCAGAAGAGACAGGGGCCCTCCAGGGGGACCCAGAGTTGCCGACGCCTGGGGGTTGGACTTGCCGCCTCCAGAACTGTGAGATATGTTCCTGTAGCTGTGAGCCATCCAGGTTGCGGTAACTTGTTACCACGGCCCTTGGAAATCAATACAATAGAGTTCCACTTGTTTCAAGTTCAAAATCAGCCCATATTCATCCTGAGTTAGAGGTCAGAATGTGGTGACCCTTGGGGAAGTTGCAGTGTTGGCAAGGGAGAAGGGAGACGTGGCAAACAGCTCAAGTTCTTTTTCCTGACCTTCAGGTTTTTTGTATTTCACTGAGTCATATACTTATTTTGTGTACTTTTATATTACAGTGTCTAATATATTAAATTAGTCTTTAATATTAGAGTGTCTCGTTCTCTGTGCAGTTCTTACAGGGCTGGCGTTAGGATCTAAATGATGTTGAGACCTGTTTGAATTGTAAAGGCCAAAACGGATGCAATGTGAATGCCCTTCACAGTCATCAGGCATTTGCTGGCTGCTGGGCATCATGCCAAGCTCCCTTCATGCATTATCCCACTTAATCCCCAAAACCCATAATAGCTCCCACTTTGTAGACTAAGAAACTGAAATGTGAAGACAAACGGTTAGAAAGTGAGGAAGCCAGGATTTAAACCCAGGCGTCTGGGGATGAGGACCGTGACTCAAGTCCTACACGCATGTTGAATTATCTCTAGGCTATTAAACCATCATGGCTATTCTGATTTTTTTTTTTTTAACAAAGATACAGATCATCATGTATAGTAGGCCATCAGAGAAGCCCATAGTAGGCTACCATTTGTGGTATGTATAAAAAGAGAATCGAAAGAACCAATCAGGCTATTTTGGATCTTTGCTTATATTCATAAAATTCTTTTAGGAGGATATCAAGAAATTAAATGTATTTAGTTGCAGTTGGGAAGAGGAACTACAGCAAGGAAGCCAGGGTAGAGAAGGCGCTTCCTGAACTTTCAAACATGTGAATGTATTGGAAATTTATTCAGAAGCAAAAAGGAACAAAGATTTATATGAATAAAAACCACCAGAGAATTATGTGAACAACTTTACGCCCATGGTTTTGAAAACATGAACACTTTTCTACAAAAATATAACTCCGTAAAAATGATATGGGAAGACAAAGAAATTGTCTAGACTTAGAACCGTTAATGTTGTGCTTACTTTAACACCTGCATCCCCATCTCTTCCAAGACCTCCGGGGAGTACCGGGAAGGCAGGGCTTCTGTGTTTTTCTCACCACTGTCCAGCTCAAGCCCAGCACTGTCCCTGGCACCCTGTAGATACGTGCTGCATGAAGGCTGGACCTCTGGGCTAAGCCAAGCCTTGGGATGGGATAAGGGGAGCGCTAATGGATCACCCGGCCACGCTCTGAACAGCCGCCAGGAGGATCCACCACCCCGAGGGCCCGCGGGAAGCCTGACGCATGCGCAGTGCCTGCCCGGGGCCAGTCGGGTGGTACAGCGCCTGCGCGATTCCGCCGGGGGGGAGGGGGACGCGAACAGGCAGCGCGGCCGGCGCCTGCGCAGCGACGCGTGTGGGCGGGGCCCGCGCCGCGCCTGCGCAGTCCTCGGCGGTCGTGGGGGGACGGACAAGAGGCGGGCCTGGGGGCGGGGGAGCTGTGAGGGAGGCTGGGCCGGGCTGGGCCGGGCTGGGCCGGGCGGACGGCGCCGCGGGCTTGGCTGCCGCCCTGAGGCCGGACTCAACGGATTCGGGCCGCGCCACCGGGCGAGCTCGCCGCCCGGCCCCGGCCCGCGGAGCCAGCGAGCGAGCGAGGCGGCGGCGGCGGCGCGCGGTAAGAGCCTGCTCCGGGCCCCCTCAGCACGAGCGACGGCCGGCGCGCCTCTTCACCTCAGCGCCGCCCGCGCGGCCCGGCCCCGGCGGCCCCGCGGACCCCGGCGGCCCGCGCCTGCGCCGTCCCCTCCCGGGCCCCCCGGCCCGGCGCGCGCCTGCGCTGGCCGCTCCAGGGCCCCGTAGCCTCCCGCGAGGCGCCCTCCCCTCGCGCCCCAGGAGCGGCCGGGGCCACCGCTCCACAGCCCCTGGCCGCCGGTACTCTGGCCCCCCATCCCCCGGCTGGCTCCCTGGCTTCGGGCCTCCTGCGGGCTCCGCTTCCGCCGGCCGCGCGCCCCCCTCCCTCCACCCACACCTGCGACCCGTTCTCTGCTGGCGGCGTCAGCCCGGGGCGGACGGAGGGTCCTTAATTCTCCATACCCGGTTCATGGCTTCGGGTTGAAGGTGAACACTTGTGTTGTTGCCGAGGAAATCTTTGCATTTCCCGCAATCCGGTCATTGTATGGCTTCAGTGGTTAACGCTTGAGACATCAGAGTTGGTCTCTGGGCAGCTCCCCTTGAGATAGATGACTTGGGAAAAAGAAATCAGTGTCCACATAGTTTCGGCCTGCTTAACAAAACCGAGGAAGAATCCCTGTGATCAGTCAAACGCCAGTGAATCTGGGTTTGCCGATGCCCTTGGTAATTCGCCTGCAAGCACGCGAGGACCCGAGGAAAATGACCATAAATTCGTCAGGAAATGTCTGTTTTTTGTTTTTTTTAAACATCTCCAGACATTGATAATGTTTCGTAAATTTGCAAGAGATGCAAGAAACTACAGATAATGTTTGCTGTCACCCCGGGAGCTGCATCTTGAGATGAAATCAGAGCCTAGGGGCTTGGTAGATACCAGCAGACATCAGTACCTTATGGATAGCTTATTAAATAAAGACATCGATGAAGAGTGTACGGTGTGAGAAGTAGGGTATTGACCTGGGTAAGATTTTTTTTTTTCCTATAAAGAGATAGCTGGTCCACTAATTTTTTTTCATCTGCGAAGATGTCTCCTTTCCTCCTTTAAAGACTGTAGTCCAAGTAGTCTTTAAAGACTCAACTGGAGACAGCTGGAGGACGCTCTTTAATTGCCTGTGCACATTCTTGGTATGTACGGATTTTCTTGACCTTCATTTTTGGTAAGACTGAATATAGTGCTGTGGTAGAGCTTTATCACTGCGCACCGTGGCAACAGTCCAGATACCTGAGTGTCCAGTTCTGCATCATAGTGAGTGGGAAGTGATTACAGTGGTTGTGGTTAAGGTGAGGCCTGTATCAGAATTTCTATTTTAAACTTAACTTTTGGGGTTTAGGGGTGTGTATCTGCTGTTGTGTCCTCTTGAGATGGGATTTCTCTGAGGCAGAGGTTCTCTTTATAGCTGACTCGAGCCAGTACCTCTTGTATTTCAGATGCATGTTTGCGTGCTCAGTCGTGTCTGACTCTTCACAACTGGTGGACTGTAGCCCGCCAGGCTCCTCTGTCCGTGGAATTTTCCAGGCAAGAATACTGGTGTGGGTTGCCATTTCCTACTCCAGGGGATCTTCGTGACCCAGGGATAGAACCCCTGTCTCCTACATAGGCAAGAGGATTCTTTACTACTAGCGCCACCTGGGAAGCCCGTATTTCAGATGACTCAGATGATAATACTGCTTTGGTTCAAAATAATTATCAAGGTTGGGTTTCATGATACATTAAGACTTGGTGTATAACCATACACATATTTAAGTCACGTGGCTCACTTATGCATAGTTACGATGCAGTAGAGGAAAAGTGAGAAGATGCCAGGAGGCGAGACAAGTTCTCTTCGTGGCTTTGGGCTAGTCGGCTTTCCTTTCTGGGCTTCATTTCCCCATGTGTGAAGGTGGGGTTTGGAAGTGGAGATGGAAGGAGTCTGCTTGAGGTGTCAGTTTTAATGTTCAGTGGCTCCTTGCCTACTTAATCCTCTTCAGCCAGAGGTAGAACTGGACCTTCTCACCAGTTCCGTGACATTGTGGTCCTTCCTTAAAGATTGGAGAGGTGGTGTCATAAAGTTGGTGTGAACAAACCTCAGAAACTCTTGGTCAGGCTGTGAAATGAAGTGTTGAGTGGGCTTCAGTGTATTAAAAAACAAGGACAGTATAGAGAGTTTTTTGTAAAACTAAATTTATTCAACTAAAAGGCTGTTCTTTCTAAAAATGTCATTTTCTTGATGTTAAAGCATCTTTTGTGATATGATGGTGATAGTAAATGGTGGTACATGGGATTGTAAATGGCATCTACAAGGTTCGTTCCCTTATCACAATAAGATATTTATAGAAAAAAAGAGAACCTAGAATCTATTGTTTTGCTATTGCAGTAAGGGAGTTTAGGAAAAAGTTCCTGGGGCTTTTTCTGCTAAGAAGATTACAACATAGATTACTTTTTAAGAGTAGATACGAGTTTACTTTGTGGTAATTCATTTGTCACAAGCCACAGGCAACTAAGGAGGCTTTGTCATGTATTAAAGATACTTCTCTTCTGATCACCCTTTCTACCAGATATAAAATGTCAGGGGTGTGTGTGTGTGTGTGTGTGTCTGTGTCTGTAAAAGCCCAGGTGTGTGTGTGTGTGTGTGTGTAAAAGCCCAGGGGTGTTGTGTGTGTGTGTGTGAAAGCCCAGGTGTGTGTGTGTGTGTGTAAAAGCCCAGGGGTGTGTGTGTGTGTGTGTGTGTGTGTGAAAGCCCAGGTGTGTGTGTGTGTGTGTGTAAAAGCCCAGGGGTGTTGTGTGTGTGTGTGTGAAAGCCCAGGGGTGTGTGTGTGTGTGTGTGTGAAAGCCCAGGGGTGTGTGTGTGTGTGTGTGTGTGTGAAAGCCCAGGGGTGGTGTGTGTGTGTGTGTGTGTGTGTGTGAGAAATCCCAGGGGTGTGTGTGTGTGAGAAATCCCAGGGGTGTGTGTGTGTGTGTGTGAAAGCCCAGGGGTGTTGTGTGTGTGTGTGAAAGCCCAGGGGTGTGTGTGTGTGTGTGTGTGTGTGTGTGAAAGCCCAGGGGTGTGTGTGTGTGTGTGTGTGTGTCTGTGTCTGTAAAAGCCCAGGTGTGTGTGTGTGTGTGTGTAAAAGCCCAGGGGTGTGTGTGTGTGTGTGTGTGTGAAAGCCCAGGGGTGTGTGTGTGTGAAAGCCCAGGTGTGTGTGTGTGTGTGTGTGTGTGTGTGTGAAAGCCCAGGTGTGTGTGTGTGTGTGTGTGTGTGTCTGTAAAAGCCCAGGTGTGTGTGTGTGTGTGTGTGTCTGTAAAAGCCCAGGTGTGTGTGTGTGTGTGTGTGTGTGTGTGTGTGTGAAAGCCCAGGGGTGTGTGTGTGTGTGTGTGTGAAAGTCCAGGGGTGTGTGTGTGTGTGTGTGTGTGAAAGTCCAGGGGTGTGTGTGTGTGTGTGTGTGTGTGAAATCCCAGGGGTGTGTGTGTGTGTGAAAGCCCAGGGGTGTGTGTGTGTGTGTGTGTGTGTGTGTGAAATCCCAGGGGTGTGTGTGTGTGTGAAAGCCCAGGGGTGTGTGTGTGTGTGTGTGTGTGTGTGTGAAAGCCCAGGGGTGTGTGTGTGTGTGTGTGTGTGTGTGTGTGAGTGAAAGCCCAGGGGTGTGTGTGTGTGTGTGTGTGTGTGTGTGTGTGTGTGAAAGCCCAGGGGTGTGTGTGTGTGTGTGTGTGTGTGTGTGTGTGTGAAAGCCCAGGGGTGTGTGTGTGTGTGTGTGTGTGTGTGTGTGTGTGTGTGAAAGCCCAGGGGGGGGAATTCCTCCTGATGGTTGAAATTGTTAGTATTGAATAGACTGGCTGCTGAGGTAAAGAACCCCTGTGGGGATTTGCTGTCAGCTGGGAAATCTTTCACTATCGTGGCCCCAGTCTTTTGCTTTGAAACACCATGACCATCAAGAAATTAGGCTATGCTGATGGGAGAAGTGGCTGGCTCCATCTGTTTTAAAGTGGATGTGTAACAGATGACCTTTGTGTCCATGAAATCTTAAAAATTTTTAAAGATTTAAAAACTCTTAACAGATTTACAGTTACTGTAAATTTTGTTTTGTACTTAACAAAACTGCAATGTATAATGTGTATCAGACATGGATTTTTAAAGTGTCTCAAAATATTATCACCCGTGACTCTTGAAACGCTCATTCCTGCGCTGGAGGACAGACTGCTCTCACTCACCTCTGAGTGCTCTGGTTCCAGAGGAGAGCGCAGTAACTCTGTACAGGACATTTGTCCACACGGAAAGAGGGCAGAGGTGTTTTTCCTGACCTTTCCTCACATCCTCATTGTCGTCCTGTCTTTATTTCTTTGGTTAAATCCTGAGGTTTGCTCCTGCCTGTCTTTCTAAAATGTTAATCTGCTCAAAGTTACTGACCCTCCTCTGGCACAGTCTAAAGCCCTGCAGTGCCCGCCCCCGCCCCCCACTACCCCCGCCGGCATTCACAGCCAGACCTGCGCCTGTAGCCCTGCCTTGCCTCTCTTCGGGCGTCTCCTCCAGAGCCTTGCTGAGCTCTTGGTCCCTGCGGCTGTCCCCATCTCCTGCTGGGATGCTCTTCTTTCACCTCGTCCTTCACAACTCCGCTCAGAGGCCTCTGCCTGCACGGCCTCCCTTGCCCTGTCTTGCAGGCTGTCCAGCCCCCTTGCCTTAGGGTTTGGTTCCCGGGGTCTGACACAGAGCAGGCCGCAAAGACTCTGAGGACAGGGCTCACTTAGCCCCTGCCCCTGAGAGGTCCACTGGCCTTGCCAGCCCTGTGACACCTTCCAGCCACGCACACCAACTTGCAGAGTCCATTTAATTGTGTCCTAGTGTCTAATTCAAATCTAACTTCTTGACAGAGGAGACTCTGTAATGTCTGTTTTATCAACCAGAAACGAGGTGGGCGTCATCTTTACTTGCATATTGTCTCCTTTCCCCTCCTTCTGCCTTGGGATTTTTTTAAAATCTGATGAATGGTAAAATTTTAAGAAATGAAGATATCAAATATCAAGTTTGTCTTTTGTGCATATAGCCAGGGAAAACAGGAATGTTAAAGGGGAAAAAAAAAAAGGAAAAATACTTCATCTCTTAAAAAAAACTCCAAAAAACCCATATTACACTCATTTTCAAAAGAACTTGAGTTTATTAAAAAAAAAAAAAACAGATTGTGATTAAGTTTAGAAAACAGGCAAAGAAACTGGCAACAGGGTTAAAATTTGTCAAGAAATACTTGTTTAAAATGAAAGTTGTCCCTTTCTTCCTCTCTCATGTTCCTTCCTCTCATGTTCTTGGATAAAGTCCCAACTTAGCCATTTTCCTGGGACACCTTGTCCCCTAGGAAGTCCTGAGGCAGTTTGTTAAAGCTGCTCTTTTCTACAGCAGTCACAGCTGGACTCCTTTCTCCCATGAAGGACCCTTTTCCTCCTGCGCAGGAGACGCCAGTGTCCCAAGTCCCACTCCTTTCTTTCCCTGGAGGCGTCTCCCGGTCATGGTTGTGCTCACCAGGTCCAAGAGTTCTTGAGCAGGAGATACTGAGTTTTCTCCTTGCATACCTTTTTTTAAAAAACAAAAAACAAACAAAAAAACCTTCATGGGTTTGTCTCAGTCTTTCCCTGGCCTCACAGCTTGCCAGATCTTAGTTCCCTGACCACAGATTGAACCTGGACCCCCAGCAGTAAAAGCACCAAGTCCTAACCGCTGGACGCCAGGGAGTCCCATGGTTCAGGTCAGTCTTAAAACTTCTGTCCCGGCTTCTTGTTCCTCCCTCTCTCTTGGCGTCGGCGTTTTCTGCAGACCCCATCACGTCATTCTGCTTCCTCAGGTGCGCTTTGTCTCGTGTGACACATCATCTGCTGGGTTTTTCAACCCTGCCTCCTTCAGTTTTATTTTTATTTTTTGGCTGCACTGCGAGGTTTGCAGGCTTAGTTCCCCAGCCGAGGGTGGAACCTGCACCCCTGCATTGGCAGCTCAGAGTCTTAACCACTGGATCACCAGGGCAGTCCCTGGTTTATGCCACTTTTGGCTGTTACGGATAATGCTGCTGTGAACCTCCATGTCCAGAGTTCTGTGTGGACGGGTGTGTTCTGTGGTCTTAGATGTGTGCCTAGGAGTGGAGTCGCTGGGTCCTGTCGTAGCTACGTTAAGCCTGTAGAGTCATCACCAGCTGTTCTCCACAGCTGCTCCATGCACAGCCCCGCCAGTCCCATGCCACGCTCTCCGTTCCCCACTTCCTAATCAGTGTGTGGGTGTTCAGGGGATGCTTTGAAAAAATGGGACGTTTTTGGTCCTTCTGCTTTTTGTTTTTCTCACCCACTCGATACTTCCGGAAAATTCTATCAAATCAGCTCGTACCATTCTGACTCATTATGATAATATTCCACAGTACAAATATACTGTGTGTTGATTCAGTTCAGCAGAAAGTAAGAGGCTGCTATGTATCAGGCACCGATTTCGGCTCGGAGGCAATAAAACAAGATGCCCTGTGTTCTTAGAGTTTACTTTCTAGTAGGGGTGGGGGTGGGACATCAAGAAATGGACAGGTAGCATAGCCTAGGGTTTTACCAGGGCAGTCTGAGTCTGTGACAGCTTTCTGAGGAGCGCATATTTCTAGACGGCCCTAAATGTTGTTGCAGGTTACTTTAAGGAGAAGGTAGAAACATTTTCGTAAAATAAAAAATAGGAAAAAATAAATAAAAGACCCAACTGGCTAGTGTGGCTGTACAGATCTGAGAGGTCAGCAGACGAGCCGGTCGGTGTTGGAGTCATCGGTGACCGAGTTAGCACATTTATGAATTGCATCCAAGTCCTGGAACTCCAATACTCTGGCCACCTGATGTGAAGAGCTGACTCATTGGAAAAGACCCTGGTGCTGGGAAAGATTGGAGGCGGGAGGAGAAGGGGACGACAGAGGATGAGATGGTTGGATGGCACTACCGACTCTACGGACATGAGTTAGAGCAAGCTCTGAGAGTTGGGGATGGACAGGGAAGCCTGGCGTGCTGCAGTCCATGGGGTCAAAAGAGTCAGACACGACTGAGCGACTGAACTGAACCTCCGGTGCCGAGTAATAGACACCCCTCCCTAGGAGCCAGGTGAAGGGTGTGGGGCGCTTTCTGATGGGTGCCGCTGAGAGGACTTTTGGTGGGGACATGGCAGAACCTCCAGCGCGGTCTTGTTTTCTTCCTGGACTTTCTGTATTTGTTATGTTGCCCTTTGAAGCTACTTTAAATTACTCATGGTGAAGCCTAGGGAAAACAGTTTGGCTTAGCTGAAATGGTTAGGCCTGAGGACGTTCCCTCCAGTGAGGGCAGCTTTGTATTGATATGCGGCCTAGCTGGGCCTGCACTGATCCTTCTGTGTTGGCTCTAAGGGTTACGCGGTTAAAATAAATGTTTTGGTTCTGATTTTGTTTTTTTTAATTTTACTTTGAAATGAAGTTAGAAATGCACATTTAGATGCAGTTACTCACCCTTCATGTTACCCATCCAGGTGACAGGCCAGCTCCATCATCATGGGATGCTGGTCGTCTGTTGAGTAGTCAGAATGTCACTCTAAGGAATCAAATACTATCCCGCCGAAGTTTTTGGGGGCAGTTCAGTTACTAATGTGCCTTGTCTTTTGAAAAAGCAACAAAACAAAACATGGCCTGCAAGTTTATGTTGAAGCAATGTCTCTGAAGGTCTGGTGTAACATAAATACCAGCGGGGCGCTGTCTCTCTGGGCAGGGGTCTCCTCTCCCCTGGTCCTGCTGCTTGCTGTCCTTCACACCCCCACCACACATGTGTCTAGTGGGGCTGGGTTCCAGCACTGTGTTTATGAAACGTAATTCAGTTCATACGAGTTACGAGGTTTGGGTTATTAGTACTGTGAAACCTAGTGAGCCTGCATGGCAGCATGGTTGAAAAGCCCTACATTTCATGTGTCCCTTTCATCATACAGGGTCCTCTCTCAACACATTTTACAGTAGTTAGCATGACTGTTACTTTCCTTGTCTCACAGATGAGGTTGAGAACACAGAGTTAGCAAGGGCCACCCTTGACTTTGAGCCCAGGTCTCCTATGTTCTTTTCACTGTGATCCGCTGCTGTTCCACTGGAATGTGTCTGCCGTGTGGTGAAGGAGCCGCAGAAGAGAAGACGGCGTCAGGCATTGTTTCTCATGCGATTGAATTGTCTGAAGAGCTTTCACGTGGAAAGAGGACTGGATTTATCTTATGCTGCTTTGGCAGGTCCCCCAGGTGGTCACAGCCGCGCTGGCGTGCGGCTCCACGTGTGAGAACCTGCCCGAGAACTGCAGGGCCACCTGGTGACCAAGGCCGCCGGGTGTGGCGGGACGGCGGGCAGGGGGCTGACCGCGGTGCCCCCGGCCTCACAGGTCCGCCCCGCCTCCCTCTGCCCGCTTCCTCTGCCGAGCACTTGGCGGGGCCCCGTCTCCTCTTCCGAGTCTCGCGCCTCTTCTCCCTGAAGCCCCTCAGAGGCAAGTCTTAAATACGGAATGGTCACCTGATAGGAGTTACTGATGACTGGTTCATTTTTCTCACGTATGCAGTCTGTCTTCACTCCTTCCATGTTTTAAGTAAAGTGACAGGTATGAATTTGGAATTTATCATTTTTTCTCCAATGCTGTTTCTGTAGGGATTTTTTTTTTTTAAGCTGGAAATAAAAATTGAAGGCAGGGGGTTTATTGTATGAGAGTCTCTGCTGAACGGCTAATGCGGGGTTTCCTTTCTCACCCAGGGTTTATTATCCTCAGAGCTGACCCCCCAAGGTCCCTGTGCTGTTTCATTCCTTTTCGCACGTGATTGCCGATGGCGTGGGCGCTGTGTTTGTCCGGCCAAGGCATCCTGCAGGTGGGGAGAGGGTGGTCAGCCACGGCCGTGTCTGTATCGAGGCCACAGAGTGACTTCCGAGAAGGGTTCTCCAGACCTGAACTGCTTTGCAGGTGAAGCTTCAGGGCGTAGTGAGCTCAAGGGGAAAAGGCCTGTCACGTGTCAAGGAGCTGATTAATTTTTGCAAAGCAGTTTCTGTGTTGTCTTTTATCTACCCTGTTGTCGGGAGCCTGGAGCTTAGACACGTTTGCCCTGCTGCGTCGTCAGAAGTGAACCGGGGACGTTTCAGGCGACTAAGGCTGGAAGGGGTGGATGGGTGGCTGCCCTGAAAAGGAGGGTCCCTCAGGAAAGAGGCCAGTGAGAAAGTGAGCCCGGTGAACTCCCCTGCGAAAAGTTCCCTGCGACGCTCCCCCACTGTTCCCTGGGGCCCTGAGAGCTGGAGCGCGGTGCCTGTCTGAGGGTCTCGCTAACCCAGCTTAGCGCGGGAAGACCCCGTTCACCTGTGTCTGCTGGTGACCTCCCATTCCGGCCCCGCGCGGGCGGGAGCCTATGCTGAGGGGAGGGCCCAGCCGTGCGGTTGGCGTGGGGGCCTCGCTGATTACTAGCCGCCTCGGAATCTGTTGCTGGATAACTTTCACTCGCTAGTGCTCTTCCTGCCTTCTGGACCTTTTGAAGTTTGAAAACGGCTGTTTGGAAAGAGGAAGTAAGCAGTCAGGATGAGGGGATTCGCCTCTGTGGGGCAGGGAGGAAGTCTGTGCAGGGCCCTGTTTGGCGGGACTCGCGGCCTCCACCCAGAGGTGCGAGAACCGACTCCTGGACGCGAGTACTGTGTCCAGAACCGTGCAGCCAGCACCCGGTGGGGCTGCACGTGAGCCTAGGTCCACCTGAACGGTCCAAGTGCTCTCCACTAGTGTGTGGTCTCTCTCATAGAGACCTGTTTCCTTTGTGTCCTGAAGTCCTTTGAAGGGGTGATTGTTTCTTAAAGCTGAAGTAGTTACATTACTCATTTACAGTAAATCAGGTTAGATGGGCAACGTTCTCAGAGATAGGATTTGGTCATTTGGGGGTAATGTTTTGAATCTAACAAATGATTTTGAAGGAATAGAATCCGAAGACCCTCCCATCAACTTGAGTTTGGGGTGAGCTGATGTGCCCTTGTAAGGATGTCTCTTATCCCTGATAACTGTTACTAGTAGCCCAGAGTCTGCTAAATCGGGTAACGTTGTTCTCAAGTTTTACTTGTTAAGAATTAGAATGACATATCAGGAAGAAAGATTTGTTTCACATGGTCTGTTTTCTTGGAACGCGATTGGTTGTGTCTCATTGAATTTCTGATATGTGATTGAGCTTGGTGTTTGGCGTGTAGTCATCACTCAGGCAGTAAAGGCGACAGCGGTCGGTGTGATGGAGGTATATGGTGCGTCTCAGCGTTCCACAGGAAGTATGCACTGTGACATTGGGATCATTCGGCAGGAGGGGTGGGCACGGCCTGTCATGGGGCCCGGGGCTCGGCGTCTCACCGCGGCCGCAGCCGACACTGACGGCGGCCCATCGTGGGCAGCCTGGTCGGCGCTGCTCACGCCCTGCCCTCGGCGGCCAGCTGTGGGAGGCTCAGGTCTGCGCGCCTCCCGTGAGGGTGGGGAGGTGACCTGCTATGTGTGGAGTCCCCGGCACGGCGCCCCGCAGGCCGTGGGCCCTCAGCGTTTGGTCCCTGCCTTCCCTCTCGCCGGCGAGGTGTCGGGGGGGGGGGGGGGCTGCACCGTAGTGGCTTTTCATTGTCCGTCTGGGGCTGCGGGGCTGCCCGGCAGCGAGTGAGGAGGCCACGGGAGGCCCAGGCCAGCACGAGCCGCTGCGGCTCCTCACGTCTCGTTCTGGGAGACCAGGGAGAGCCGCCTCCGAGCGGCTGTCCTTTCCCAGAAGGTGTGGTTGAAATCAGGGCTGTAGCTGACCTGTGTCGTAGTTGTTCCCTGGTCTTCCAGCCAGTTCTGTTGGGTTGGCTTTCTCAGCCCCACAGGGTGTCTGTGCAGATGAGACCCTGTCGATGGTCTGCTGCACAGACGAGCGTCTCCCTTCCCTCCTGGGTTTAAACCAGTCTTTTCGTGCCAGTTTGTCAGCCTTGATGCTGTTGATTTTTGGGGTGAGGGGTGTCCTTGAATTGTGGGATCTTTCGCAGCATCCCAGCAGTGATAACCAGCAATGTCTCCTGACAGTGCTGAATGTCCCCTGGGGGGCGGAACTGCCCACATGGTGACCACTGCCGCATCCTCCCTGGACAAAGAAAAAGTGATCCTTTCTGTTTTCTATGAATTTTCATTTTATCTAATCAGCGAAACACGTGCTGAAAAAAGATTTCATTTTTATTAAACTGAACTCAAGTTTTAATCTATTTTAACTTAATTTGGAAAGACTTTCTTTGTGCCATTGGCAAAACATTTCTCAAATCTAAAATTTTTAGCTTTTTTAAAAGGGATTTATATTGTTACATTTAATTATTAGTGAATTACAAAAATGAGTATAATAGTACTAATATTATTAGTGAATAATAATTAGTACATAATTAGTGAATTACAAAAAATGTTTGTTTCTGTATTTCAGAGTTAAAAATGTTCAAATATATCGAATTGGTATTGAAAGTATGGCCGACAGTTCATTTTATGAATACAGTATTGTGCAGTTTTGTAACTGCCTGCCAAAAATCTGAGCATAAAGCCATGGTTTGAAAGGGTCATGAATAAACATTTTCTTTTTGTAAATATTCAAAAACCTTGGCTGAGCAGGGAAAGGAGACTCAAAATTTCTTGCATTCTGGGCGTTTGAACTTTGGGAACTGATTTGTTTTGGACTAAATCTGGAGAAATCATTTGTGTACTATAGCCAGAAATTCTTTTAGGCTGTCTTTTTCCAGCCTTGTCACTTATCTGGAATGTTAAGTATTGGCAGTAGTTTAACGGTCTTTTAGCAGCTTGTATTAAAAAAAGAGGTCTCCAGAAATGGATCTGAAGAGGCCTTAGTATAAGATTAGGGTTTGTTTTTGTTTTTGTTATTCTTTGCAAAGCAGTGAGAAGGAGAAGACTTACAGTTCTAAGTTTGAAAAAATGCAGGGAGCATCTAGTCTCCAGATATTCCTTGTGTTAAACCCTGCAGAATAATAGAAATCGTGAATCAGGTATGAGTGACGTTTTCTGTGACCAGAGCGAAGGGAAACAGACTCGCACTTTGGGATTTTTGTTGCTGGCAGTTCGTTGGCTCCCTTGTTGTCGCATCCTGTCTGTCAGTGGTTGGAGTTTAGTGACAAGAGTGCAGACTCCGGGCAGACTGCTCACCTATCACCCTGGCCTCAGTCTCTTCTTCTCCAGGCACGTTGGGTGGCTTCTAATCCAATGTGCTGGTCTGGGCAGCACAGCCCTGCCCTGGCAGCCTGCTCTGGGCTTTAAACAGCAGCAGCACCAGCAAAGCGTCTCACCCGCCTCGTTACTGTCTGACTCTGCCCTTCGCAAAGCCGCATTTCTGCAATGTTCTTCATCCTTGTCTCCTACTCAGCCTTTTACCCCATTTCAGTGGCATCTGACTTCTCTCCAGCCTTCCCCGTGGAGCTGTGTTGGCCATGCTTGCCATCACCCCCTTCTGGCTGACTTCAGCGTCCACCTGGGTACATGGTCCTGTGGATTCGCCCCCCCCCCCCCAGACCCCTCCCCGCCAGCGTGGCCAGGCAGAGAGGAGGTGGCTGTGAGGGGCGGGGCTGGAAATGGGAGAGGGGCTGCTTTTTCCTTGCCCTTCCTTGGAGGGGAGCATACACTTGGGCTCAGCGGTGGAGGTGGAGGAGAGGTCTGTCGGAAGGCCGCCTTCCTTAGGGCCAGAGTTTGCATCACTGGTTTCCGGGAGCAGGGAGAACACCTTATTAAATGTGCACATTCGTCAATGGTCACACCCTAATTTTAGGCATGCAATAAAATCTGTCTTAAAAATGAGAAAATTTCATTTTCTCTACCCTTCCTCTTTCCTCTCCCCACTGCTAATCACTGGTTTGTTCTCTCTGTGAGTCTTTTAAATGTTTATTTTTATTATAACATGGGGTTGCAAAGAGTCGGACACGACTGAAGCGACTGAGCGGCAGCAACATAAGCTTTAAAAATTGTGGATCACGATACGGTACACCTGTAGTTTCTGTAATGTTTGAGCCAAGTCGCTTCAGTCGTGTCCGACTCTCTATGACCCCGTGGACTGTAGCCTGCCCGGCTCCTCTGTCCATGGGATTCTCCAGGCAAGAATACTGGAGTGGGTTGCCATTTCTTTCTCCAGAGGATCTTTCTGACCCAGGATCAAACCCGTATCTCTTATGTCTCCTGCCTTGGCAAGAAGGTTCTTTACCACTAGCGCCACCTGGGAAGCCAAACTTCTGTAACAGTAAATGGCAACTTTGGCTTCTATTAAAAATGAACTTGAAGGAACTTCCCCGGTGGCTCAGTGGATGAACATCCACCCGCCAGTGCAGGGGACGCGGGTTTGATCCTGGTCTGAGAAGACGCTGTGTGCCGTGAGACAGCTGAGCCCGTACGCGTGCACTTCAGAGCCTGAGCGCCAGCACTGCTGAGCCTCAGAGTCGTACCCGCTGGACTGCCAGGGGAGCCCCTCCAAGTCTGTGTTTTTTTTTTTTTAATCTTTAAATGCACTTTCTGGTTGTGTGTTAGAATTCACAATAAGACAGATTCAAAAAGTGTGTATGTTGAATTCAGAATAGAAAGTCTGTTGCATCATGATTTATTTAATTAAAACGTTTCAAATTGAGGTTCTTTCCAACATTTTGTTTGGTTTTGCAGCACTCATGATTTTACCGGTTGGTTATTTGGTCCACTCAGCAACGTTTGCTCAAGGCTTCGGTTTAGTTTGCTAAGCTTCCGTCTTCCCTTGACAGTGAACACTGACCCTTCTCAGTGTTTTAAGTCTCTCTCCTTGAAGCTCTCATATTCCTACATGTTGAATGTGGAGTTTGTGAAGTAGGAGAGATAGATGTATTTAGATTGCTTGGATTGAAACCTTTTATTGATTTTGGTGGAGTGTTATCAATATATAACATAAAAACACCATAGCTAATGCCACACACCATGATTTAAACACCAAAGCAGTTTCCTTTTTTTTTCTTTTAATGGTTCTGATTCCTGGTTCTGAGGGTATGAATTATGAGATAGAGTGTTTGAATTTCCAGTGCTCCTGATCCATCCTCCTGGCCTTACCAGCAAGGCTCAGAGTCAGCATGACTTTCTCAGGGTTGTGCAGGCTGACCTGAGACCTCAGCCCGGGTCTCCTGATTACTCTTCCAGGGAGCCGCCCACCATGTACTTTCAGTGTTTCCTGACATGCAGTTTTCAGTGGGAAAGAACCAGAAGCAAGTGTTGTTTGTTGACATCTATGTGCCACAGTGTATAATTTAGTGAAGTAGTGAGTAAAAATAATCTTTAGTCATTCCTGATGAAGGGTTTCTCTGACAGAGAGTCCTTTGAGTTGCTGCTTTTGTTTTAATAAGGCATTAGTCATACTTGGGGCATGCAGTGTGTTGTTATACATTATGGCAGCTCACATTGGTGCCATCCGTGCTGTGGGCCACCATGCTAAGCACTGTGGGCTCGCTCTTCCATTTAACCCTCCCCAAATCCTTTTCAGGTGGGTAGTAGTGTTACTGTCCCATTTTATGGATGAGGAAACTGAGATTTCAGAGAGGTTAACTTCCATGCCTCAGGATACAGATTTCATCAGACACTGCAGGTGGGGCAGTCTCCCAATGGTGGTGGTTTGGTCACTAAGGCATGTCCGACTCTTGTGAGCCCATGGCTGTAGCCCTCCAGGCAGAAATACTGGAGTGGGTTGCCATTTTCTTCTCCAAGGGGTCTTCCTGACCCGGGGATTGAACCCACATCTCCTGTGTCCTGTATTGCAGACAGATTCTTTACCAACTGAACCATCAGGAAAATCTCCGAATACTGTGTTTTTAAATAACACAATGGATTTAAAAAATGATCTTTTTTAGGGACTTCCTGGTGGTTCAGTGGTCAGGACTCCGTGCTCCTGCTGCTGAGAGCATGGGTTCTATCCCTGGTCGGGAAACTAGGAAGCTGCGAGCCTGGAAGCGTGTCCTAAGTAAATAAATCAATAGAAACTATCAATTAAGTAACAATTGCATTTTTCTTTACTGAGCCATGCAGCCTGTGAGATCTTAGTTGCCCCAACCAGGCCCCCGGCAGTGACAGTGCAGAGTCTTACCCTCTGGACCACAGGGAGGTCCCCACAGTTCCGTTTAAATAGTTGTGAATACCGGTGCGCTGAGTGTAACTGGAGAATGGTTCTGTGCGGAGGGGACTAGGAGGTGCATAGAGGCGCTCAGAGGGAGAAGTGGTGAGGGGCCGGGGTCCTGGTGTGGCTCCCCGAGGGAGGCCCCACGCGGGCTCCTGGCGGGTGCTGTGCTGGGGCCTGGCCGTGCTTCTCGCCAGGGATGGCCTCAGAGCTTCCCAGTGGCTTGCTGGACAGTCCTCTCAGGGAGGAGCCTTCCTGATGCAGTGCAATGACAGTTAAGGTAAGTTCTTCCTGTCCTTTTGGCATTACTTCTGAAACTTGGTTAGTGTGTTTTCCATGGGTGGATGGTTGGGGAGGGTGGAGTTTCTGAATCACTGAGAAAAATTGCCGTCCCCAGTCCTGGGTTCTTGCTACACTTTTCTGACCTTTGAGCCCTGGTGAAATAACGTCTAGAACAAGTATGGTGGGATTTTTGTTCTCTTTGTTGGTCTGCACGTGTTCTTTTGTATAGTAACTCTGTAAATTAGGTT